AAAGGGGAATTTTGAATTTATGTTGTGCTGATGGACCATGTTGTAAAAAAAAAAGTTAAACCGTTAAATGTTCAGAGCAATAAAAAAATAATAATAATCTACCTCAGTTTTATCATGCGCTTTAAGGTAATATCAATGTTTTTGATAATATGCCTCGATTTTTACAGATCCTGAAAGTGTTATTTTCTACATTTGTAGTCCACAGCAATAAATAAAACAATTTTGGCCTTCACAGTTGAAAGACTTGTATTATGCTTTTTTTCCTTCCCATTATATCAGTAGACTGGTGTGTGTGTTTAATTTGTTTTCCTAATAAAATTGAACTGTTGAAGTAAATTGTAGAAATACTCCTTCTGGAACGTAATTGGTTGCTATGGTTGCTAGGGGTTCCGACTGGACAACTCTCTGGGCGGCGGCGGGTTCTTTGCTAGCTAGCTGCTTTTTTAGCTAATGATTAACATCGCCACAATAATGGCTAAACAAGTGTCTTTAATGTGTTATTTTAAAAAAGCAAGAGTTGAGGGAGAAGACTCGCCACTGCCTCCATTTACCGAGTCCACCCAGCCCAGTTCTTCGGACTCATTAGCCCACAAGAAGCCTAGTCAGGTGCCCATGCCGGTGCTCTCCCGGTCAGCCTGACGCAGGTTTACCCGCCGATCTAACCGCAATTGATGAACCACCTTCACAACCCAATTTGAAGGTATTTCCCTGCACTGTCAAGAATGTAAAATCAAGCTTCTCATCAAAGTGGTATGGACAGTTTCCTTGGTTGGAGTACAGTGTAATCAAGGACGCAATTTTCTGTAAAATGTGCAGACATTTTCCAAGCGCAGCTGACAGCCCATTTGCGACAGAGGGACTGGAGCTCCAAATCCGGAGCAGTGAGCAAAGTACTGACGTTACTCTACGTAATATTAGAAGTGCTTGCTGAATATGCTGAAAGCAGTGGCCAATCGAAGGTTGAGGCGCAGTCACTGTTGCAACAAATACAAACAAAAAAGTTCTTATTTTTACTCGTCACATTTGGAAAGTTATTTCAGACGAGCAATTTTGCCACACAGGGTTTACAGAGCCCAACATTGTCAGTTTCTGAGTGCATCGATCTTATTGAGGGACTAAAAGAGAGCTTTGCTCGGTTTAGAAACAATTCAGGGTGTGATTTTGAGCAAGTAATGAAGCTAACAGAAGAGTTGATGCAGAAAAATGAAATCACAAGCTGGGACATCACAGCTGGGACCAGAGTGAGAAAGCTCCCTGCAAGGCTTGCAGGATCAGTGGTCACAACTAGTTTGGGGAAAGCAACAAGTGTGAGAAATGATGATAACTTAAGACACATATGGAACGACATCCTTGACAGCTGGCAGAGCTGGACAATCGTTTCCAAGAGGATCAGTATGGAAATATGAGGGCAGCAGCAACTTTTCTCCCACAGTCTAAGACTTTTGCAAAGAAGGATTCTCTGCGGGCCCCGTGTGATCCCTTTCATATATTGGCTGAGGATGCTAAACTAACAGTATTCATTGAGCAACTGCGTCGAAAAGTAGCCAATGGCCTGGAATTTCCATCCCTTATGGAAGTATTGGACATTTGTGCTCCTGACATATTTCCAAATTTCCCTCAATAAACTCCTTCAAGTCATCATCACCCTTCCCATGACTTCTTGTAGTTGTGAGAGACTGTTCTCCACTGCAGGTAGGATAAAGACTTAACAACCTGTGCCTTTTGTCCTTTGAAAAATAACTAACTCTTTGGACTATGATGAGATTATTTCTGTTTTCAACACTAAACCCAGGTGCTTATTCCTCTCTGGGAACCGTCACCTTATCGTGGTGGAGAGGTTTGTGTGTCCCTATGAACCTGAGGGCTGTGTTGTCGGGAGCCTTGTGCTCCTGGTAGGGTTACCCTTGGCAAAGTGGTCTCAGGCGAGGGGCCAGACTAAGAATGGTTCAAGACCCCCATGAAAAAACAGAAGAGGGAAGGAGTTACCCGGCCCGGAGGAAGCCCGGGGCCCCCATTTGGAGCCAGGCCCAGATGGAGGGCCCGACAGCGAGCGTCTGGTGGCCGGGTTTACCGCGGAGCCCGGCCGGGCACAGCCCGAAGGAGTGACGCGGCAGCCCAAGACTCTACTCCCCATGGGCTCACCACCTGTGGAGGAAACCGATGGGGTCAGGTGCGCTGCTACAAGGGTGGCAGTGACAGTGGGGGGTCTAGAGGATGCCCCCTGGGCGCCTCCCTAGGGAGGTGTTTCAGGCACGGCCACTGCTGACTAGCCTGAATAAAATAGACAGGTTATTGTCTATGCTGGTTTGTCTAGCCTTTATTGAGCTCTGTTGGTTGAACCTGATGTTTAGACAGTGTTTTGTTATTGTCTTTGCCGAATATTAATATATTAATATATATATATATAATAAAGGTGTAACTGTTTTTGCAATTTAGCTATTCTCTTTTCTACTGTCTAAGGTTTAATTATTATTTAAGTAATTTTTTTTCTACAAAAAAATGTAGGCCCACCCACTTTTTCACTGGCCCGCCCAAAATACAATTTCTGCCTACGCCCCTGCGTGGAAGCACATATTGTTTTGCGTTTAACTAGGCTTTACTGTCCTCAGCGCGTCTGAAGTCCAGCTGCAGTCAGAGCACAGAGGAGACACGTCGCGTCCAGACTGAAAGTCACCTGCTCATGCGCAAAGCCACCGCTGATCCTGAGTTGGCAACACTGGTTCAATAAAGACATAACTCTCTTCAGGACTTCTCAATCGTCACTAATCACGACTGCTACATAATAAATACCACCCAGAATGCATTTTATCTACCAATATGTTGGTTTATCTAGGACTCTGAAATACCGAAGAAGTTAGACCTCTACGTCTGACGCGTCCCTGTTCCTCCCTGTTTGTTTTGAGGTGTGGGTGCAAGTGTCCGAAACTTTTACATGGGGGTATTCCAGATAGGAGGTTCAACAAACTCTGAGTCTATCCCTGAACTCTGAGGTGACTTACTCTGAGATGGGAAACTCTGAGTAGCCGGTTCCAGAACAGCTGATCTGCGTTAGTTCAATCAACTCTGAGTATGTTCACCTTGAGTTAAGCGCGTGCCATTTCCATTTTCCATGAAAACACTAAAACACTTTTATTTATCAAATGAGTTGGAAAAATTAATAGAAAATATAGTCAAGACATTGACAAGATTAGAAATGATTCTTATTTGGAATATTAATTTTGTTCTTCAAACTTTGCTTTCGGCAAATAATGCTCCATTTGCAGCAGGAATCAGGAAACATTTATTAGCCAAAATATGTCAAACATACAAGGAATTTGTCTTGGCGGTTAGTGCGCGACAGTAGACAGACAAGACAACAGTGCACAAGTAATAAAATAAAGTGGAATGAAATGCTAATGCAATGGGTTAGTAGAATAAGGCTAAGGCTATGGGTTAGTATAAAACAAGGGAATAAAGTAAAAAAAAATTAAATATTAAAAAGTTAAAAAGAAAAATATTAAGCATAAAGTGCACTAACAAACAAGTAACAGACAAGAGACAAATGCAATTACAGCATTGCAGTAATCTGTGGAAATGTAGACAATTAGCAAACACAATGTACCATTAGAAGACTGGACTGATAGTTGCTGGAAATGGGCCTCTATACACCGGTGTAGATATTTCATTCAAAACGACCACCTAGAATAGTCATTTACCACATTAACAATGTATAGTGTATTTCTGATTAATTTATTGTTATTTTCATTGAAAATAAGGAAATTTCTAAGTGACCCCAAACTTTTGAACGGTAGTGTGTGTATATATATAGCCTACTTTTTAAATAATATATATCCACCCATCCAATAGTTGTGGATGGTGTCATCTGCAGTTGTAAACCCTGCAGATACTCAGATCTTGCCAGTAACAGCATCTTTTTCTGCATCACAGGAGGATGATGATGAGGAGGAAACGCTGTCTGCTGCCACAGGGAGCGATCCGGAGGGGCCTACTGAAGTGTGTCTTAATATTATCTACTGCCAGTGCTCTGCCCATTCACATTCTAGAGTGGAATTTGGAGTTTGACATGTAGACTGAAGTGATGAGCATATATAATGGCTAACTAGCACATTCCTCTCCTTGAACAGAACATGGTTGGGCATCACCAACCCACAGCACAGCTTGAAACAGTGAGATTTTCGCTCAATACCATGTTAAATCTGTATGTGAAACTACACAGCAAAAATTGTAGTGTTGATTGGAGTTAAATTCCCAGTGTAAATTATTCCGAGTGAATGGGTGTTGATTTGTGTGTTATTTTAACACTTACAGTGCAGAAAAAGCTCTGAGGGGGGCGTCATTCCAAGGAGTTCGGAGCGTACACTTATTTTGAGTTACTTTCCACATCTGTTTTTTTCGCGCTCATTCATTGACGAGCAGGATTTGTCTTCACTTACCGTGGCAGTGAACAAAGCTAAACGCCCAGAAGAAAGCTGTGTGGGATTGGGATATTCGTTTTAAAAGGGAAGAACCACATTTATCAATTTATAAAGGCGGTTTGTCATTATTTAAACCATGTTTTAACGTTAAGTGGGGTGTGATGCAGTCGATGTGCTTACATGTGGATTAATGGAATTTACTTGCTAGCTAACAAGTGATTTAGCATTTTTTCCTTCCCCAGCTCCTCCCCAACTGTACTTAACGTTAGAGGTAAAAATGTACGTTGCGTGTTTAAATGTGATACAAGTGCTTAACATTGCATTTACTATGGTTCTATTGTTAAGTTCTGTGAGAGAACATTTTGAAACATTTTCAAATTTATAAATGTATTCTTTAACACTTTAACACGACAAGTTAGTCCAGAAACTGTAAAACGGTAATATGACGTTAGTGTGTTTTAATATAAAATATGCTTAAGGTGTTCAGGGTTTCCCGCAGAAAACTTGTTAGTCAAGGTGGTTGGTCGTCCGACGGGGGGGGGGGGGGGCTACCGGCGCTGTTTCGCTAGGTCGTCCGACTGGGACGCCGTAGTTAAGGCGGGAGGCTACAAAGTGCTGCGGGAAACCGCGGTGTTAGCTAGCTAGTACTTTGTGGCGTCGTCGTCAGGTTTAAGATGATTTGTGCACGCCCGCGTTTGTTTTTCGTCAGTAATGAAGGCCTGCTCCATTAAAATGGCAGATATACCGACTGCTGCAGCTTTGTTTCTGCTGAGGAAGTCCTAGATATGTTGGGAAATTAAACTGCGTCATGTCTGGATTAGTAACCTCATCTGGTGGAACGAACCAGCCTTCTCAACGCTAACTTTACCTGTGCGGTTCAGATTTAACTGTTTAGTTATTGCAATAAACCGATAAAAACTAAGCTAAAATACAAACATTGTGATGAAGATTTGTTAAATGTTTGAATTCATACTAAATCAGGTCCTTCCACAAGACAACAACCAAACAACTTTTTTAAATGTTCGTTCCTTAAAAAGAGTTTAGGGCAATAGTGGATTTATACAAGTGGTGTGAACCCAAAATAACTAATTCCGCCGTTATTTACTTGTGAAATGGGTCTAAAGTAAGCCGAAACAGCAACATCGTGATACAGATTAAAAAGATAAAGTATCAGTTCTGTCTGCAAAATGACAAGCAAACAACTTTTAATAATGCTTGTTTTCTGAATAAAGTTCTAAAAAAGTTGCCAGGGCATCGTGTTGCAAACAGAATATTTAGATTTTCTTTCTTTTATTTTTCCTGCATATGATGAACAATCATCACTGTTGTTTGTGAAACATATGTTATCTCCTTGCAGGAGATTGAACCCTTTTTTCACTAGCTGCAGTTTCAGGATGTTGCTGAAGGTGAAATGCAATACTATCAAGAAGTACATCAAATTGCCCTCAGGCTTCACCTATTCAGAATTCATCAGGGAAGGTAAATCATTTGAAGGCAAAATGAAATATGTAGCCAATTTAACAACAAATCACAGCACAATATGATCTGTGGCAGAACTATTTAAATAATTTTGTATTTAACAGTTTATATTACATTAATGACAGTTCGTAGTGGAATCATCAACATTAGTTAGAACATGGTTGTACATGATTCTTTTTAGTTTAACAGAGTTAAGCAGGATGATTTCAAATTTGCTCCAGGTGACTTAATCTGCTTACATTCCCTCCTTTTTACAGTCAAAAACAAGTTTGGGCTTCCTGATGTAGCTCTACTTGACATTTTTGATGATACTGACACAGCAGAAGAGGAAGACATTCTTCTGTCTGTCTGGCAGGAGAGCTGTTGGAGGCCAATCCAGACATGTGCCTGACAGTACGTGACAGCATTTCCAATGAAGGTAGGTGTCATTAAGAAAACCAATGTTAATGGATAGGGCTATTTGGTGCACCTAACATTGACCTTTCTTTATGGAAGGACCATGGCAGTGGTCAAGGTTAGGTCAAATTTGTTACAGATAACTAGAAATATAATCTGAATACTTTAAGGTTACTTAAAATGTTTATACTTGTGTGCCACATTACGTTAATAAAATTCTCCCTTTTTAAAGACTTTTCTCCTCTAGATCATTCAACACCATCTTCCCTCACGGGCACCATATCACTTCCTTCAAGTGACAGTGACCTTAGAGAACTGGGTATGACCACAGGCAGAAATAGATCCAGCAAAGAAGACATGAGCAGTTCTGCAACAAAGGCTTCCGTGTCAGAGCTGGAAACGTCTTATTTTGATTTACTATCAATTATAAGGTGTCACGTTTAAGCATTTGGTTCCAAACTCACTTTTTTATCAAAGAAAATGTTATTAATTTGCTCCCTTCGTAGATGTTTACCTTTCACAACACTTCTGTTTTTTGTCATTCCTCTGAACTTTCACCCGTAGTCTATATAGACATGTTATGGTATGTTTTTTTCTAATAGACTGATTTGAACACTGAAACTTATTTTCCCTTTTTCTGTTATGCGAGTAGATTGTAGAAAATGCCTTGCTTAAGAAGCCTGGAGGAGAGGATATTCTTGAGGAGTACAAGTCAGAAAATTCACTAATGCACCGCACTCGGAGACAGCTTGTCAACATATTGGCGAGTGATATGACTGAGAGACATGGGTAAGATTTAAAAAGGAATTACAAAGAAATGTAATAAGACTGTAATCTTGTAATGATATAACTAATGTAATGATATAACTAATGTTTCTTGTACTAAAGAAATTATTAAAGATGTACTTTCTTCTCTCCATAGCAGGATTCCTTCCCGTCAGCAGAAGGAGAAGTATGCTCTGGGAATTATTACTCTCTTTCCCTCACTGAAGGATCCTTTTTCTCCAAAGGGCTATGTAAGTTTTTCAACCTTAAGAAAACACAGCAGCAGATTTACAGTAAAGGGCTTTGGCGTTGTAGTTTTCATTCTAAAATAACTACTGTTGTTTATAAAAGTGAAAATATTTCAGAATCCACAATCATGATGGTGCTGACTTGAAATTACTTGGGTTATAAGGATATTAAAAACAAAATCTGTTAAATAAGTAATTGTTCTTATGTTTCACAATGCTGTATTTTCACTCTATGTAAGATTGTTTTGTGATAATTTGTGTTTATTCATTTAAATGTAACAGGAGCATTTCTATGATGGGGAAAGAGGAACTGGATATTTAGCGTGGCGCCTCAAAACCATTTCCAGGACTTCAGCAAAACGGCCAGTCAAAGCAGTCTCAGTGCATCAAGCACAAGGACCAAAGCGGCAAAGATCAGCAACCACACTGCCTCAGCAGCTTGATGGAGATGCCTGCAGGGAGGCCATTTCATTTCTTGTTCACTCCCCTGATGAAGCAAGTGTATTTCCGAAGATGAAGATGACGTTTCAACATGGTCAGGACCTAGTGCATGACCCACAAAGAAGCACAGATGTCTTCAAAACATTTCCACGCTTTTTAGATGTCAAAGGACTTGTGAGTTGTATATTTCTTTTATTTAAACCGAAGTCTTAAATATCCAGTGTTTTGCTGGATGTTAGCCATGAAAACACCTAATCATTCTTCTTCCTCACTTATTGATTGTCTTTTTCCAAAATCTTTATTCTGATTTACACTAGTTTGATATACCACACACTGATATCAAAAATCACTAAGCTCACCATTACCAATGCACTGGGTCCTGGGTTTCATACAGAATATATGCTTCTGTGTGTGTGTGATCAACAGGTGAATCAAGACTTCCTCCTGCTGTTTGGTGCTGAAACAGCCTCCAAGATGCTTGAGAAGTGGGACACCTCATTCAAGCTCAAGTTCATCAAAGAGGCCAAACAACTGACTCCGACAACTGAGCTGTGCCGACTTCTAAAAGCTTCTAAAGTAAACTACACAGCATACATTGTTCATATTACGAATTTGTTAGCTATTTTCATCTTTTCCTATTAGACATTAATGCCTTGTTTTTCCTCCCGATAGACTGGGACAGTGACATCGCTTCTATGCTGCTTCTTCTCTATCTCTCGCCACCCACAGCGGGAGGGAAGAGGACCAAAATAAGTCCAAGTGCTGCAGTGGAGAAAATGGTGTACTTTCATAAGGTACATTATATGCCTCATTTGTTAAAATTCCACGAGATTTTTAGTTATATGCACATGCTAGCCATTTGTTGTGTTCCTTCCAAATCAATGGTATTGCAGGCCAGTATGTCCCAATTATTTGACTGTTTTTCCAGTGAAGCAAATTATATCATTCACAGGGGCAGTTTACAAAATGTCTATTACATTTACATGGACCAGCAAGTACCAGATTCATCTGAAGGTGTACACATAATATTTTTTTTCTTTTTAGTCATGCTGCTCCATCAATGAATATCTGCAGGAAAGGGAGAGTAAACAACCATACATCCTTGCCATTGGCCGAACCCAGAAGGCGATTGATACCTTCTACATCGCCTTTGACAAACAGCTCATCCTCTGCCAAGCCACCAGCTCGTTGGGTGCTTTTGATGAACTGTTTAAATCCCACTACTTGTTCAACTTGTCTTATGATGAGTCCCTGGTCCATTTCTACACTTTTCTGCAGACAACGGTCTACAACATTGATGTTACCACAACAGATGAGTCTCCAAGAGTTTGTGAGTTGCGGGCAAAACTTTTGAATGACATATGAATATGTTTAAATGTTTTGTATGTCAAGCAGTGCATGCTACCAGTCAGTGCCTAATACCTCATTTGTGAATCTGCCAGTTTCTATCCAAGCACTAGGTTTAAGTTAGTTTGTGCACAAGATCATTGTAGGCGTCAGTTTTCAACATTTTCAGGTTTTAAAAAGCATTTAATTAGTGTGCATGATAAGGATTGTCAAAGTGGTGATGCAGAAACCTCAGAGTCATTTCAGGCGGATTTTCACAGTTTACAAAATGGTACAGAAGTTGGAACTGAAGTTGCAGGAACAAGTGTCGTGCAGAGCCCTGACACTGGGTATTTTGATAACAATGGATCAGGTCAAAGTATCAAAGAAAACACAGAAGATATCTGTGCTACAATTATTGCCAAACTCCATGGTAGTGGAATGGCAAATAATGTAGTTTCGTCAATTGTTGGTGATTTGGAAGAATTTGCTGGTGGTCTGCACTCCTAAGTTAAGCATGAAATACTGTCTGCCGTGCCAAAAGAGAACCCTGTAAGATCTACATTGGAAAAGGGTTTTGAGAATTTAGAAAATCCATTTGTGAGTTTTAATACTGAAACTAACAGAATGAAGTATTTCATCAAAAAATGGGGAATTGTGGAGCCCCTGGAAAAAAATTTAGGAGTTCGATTTGATACAAGACGAAATAAAAATACGGGTACTTATGATCAGGTCCCAGTGAAAGACACTTTTGTTTACATTCCAATTTTGGAAACTATTAAATTTATCTATCGCAATTCTTATATTTATGAACTACTTGCAAAACCATGTGTATCAAAAGACAGATATGAAGACTTTTGTGATGGAAGTTATTTTAAGTCACATCCATTGTTCTCAAAAACACAGAGTTCTTTACTAATTCAGCTTTACTATGATGACTTTGAGACTGCTAACCCACTGGGTTCAAAACGTGGTGTTAACAAAGTTGGTGCTCTCTATTTTGTCCTCCGAAATCTGCCTCCAAAGTTAAACTCTGTATTAATGAACATTCATTTGGTGGCATTGTTTCACACAGAAGATGTGAAAAAATATGGCTTTGATCCTATTTTACAGCCTCCAATTGATGACATCAAAATATTGGAGTGATGGCATTGATTTGCCTTTCTCATCTGAAAAGGTCTATGGCACTATATGTCAGATAACTGGGGATGCATGGAATAATGGGTTTTACAGAGTCTTTCAGTGGACGTCACTTCTGTCGTTTGTGTTTGATTGAAAAAGAGGATGCTCAGAATGTTTACAAAGAGGATGACCCAAAGATAATCTTGCGTGGAAAAGACATTTTTGAAATGCACAGCAGTGAGTTGCAATCAGATCCACAAAAGATGTGTGTGTTTGGTCTAAAGAAGAATTCAACTCTTAACAGCCTACAGTACTTTCATGTTTGCTACAACTTTTCTTTGGACAGAATGCATGACATACTTGAAGGGGTGGCTCAGTATGAGATAAAGTTACTGTTTGAATATCTCTCGGAAAATGTGTTGTCAAAACCTGGTCATTTGTCACGAATCTATGCTTTTGACTATGGCTACTTGGAGCGCAAAAATCGCCCGACAAGGGTCAACTTGGACAGTATAGGCAATAATATTAGGACTCAACTCTATTCAGACTCTTTTTCTGGTAAGAAACATTCCTTTGATTTTTGGTGACATTCACTGCATGAAAAGTGATATTTTCATCTCCGTAAACGCCCGGAAATATCCCTAATTTCCGGGCGTATCACAAATACTGATGGCTGACATGCAATAGGTGCAGAGCGGACAGTGGCAGGAGTGATGGCAAATTTCCACCATATTATTACTTTTACAATATGACCTATCTCCCTGTTTGTAATGTTAGACTTCTCTGTATTTAGACCCACCCAGAAAAGACTAATGTTTTAGGACACCATGTTTTCAGCAAGATGATTATCAGAGGTGAGACGTAGTCAGGGGGAGTTCTCTCAAGTTCATTAGCACCCTTGTTGATTGGATTGTCTGTTTTGACAATGGAAAGGAGATGAATGGTGGAGATGTTTTGATGCTCAGATGTTGTATTGACGCATTGACGAGTAATATATTATATTTGTAAGATTACAGAACTGAGGTAGGGTAGGATGATTACCCATCACCCTACCTTTGTCCCTGGACTTTGCTGTGCATCCCCACATTCTCTACATAGTTCTTGTCAGGTTTTCTAGTACATTACACAAGTATGATTACTTTAATAACATCTAAATGTATACGTGACCGGGGCAACTGATGTGCGTGGCCGCAATGAAACAACGCCACTCTGGGACTTTCACCCAGAGTGTACCACAAATTAATATTAGGTTCTTATTTGTTTAAGAAAGGGAGCAGAGAGGTGAATTTCTAGTTCTTTTTAACAATGTCCAGTTTTATTTATAGATAGGCTTCATGTTGGTTAACAGTCTCGGTTTAAAAATAAGGTTATTAAAAAAATATCTTCTATGCTAAAAAAAATGATGTCACTATACTGAGGTGTTGTACCAGCACAGGGGTACCAGGTGAAAGGGGCCACCACCAGATACCAGAAAGGAAACGTCACACACTGCAAAGCAAAAAAAGACTATTAGAAATAAATTAAATTAGATCGCAAATATAAAACATGCCAAATAAATTAAAAAAAAAAAAAGAGGAAGCCCTCCACCTAGTGAACCACCACCTTGGGCCTTTGACCAGCCCACCTGTACTGATCAGTATAGGACATAAACAAGGTAACCATAAAAACAGAACATTTACAAAAGGGGGGAAAAACAGCAGTGGCTAGAACTCAACAATCACCGAAAAGCCGACATCACTTCCCTGTGTCACACATAACGTACAAAACTCGACCCAACATCACGGCACCGCTACAGACACTGCATGAAAAGTGAGATTTTCGTCCCCGTAAACGCCCGGAAATCTCCCTAATTTCCGACAATTTCCGACAATTTGCAACACGCGCACGTCGCGTTTGTCTGTGCCACAAATTGTCGGAAACGAACCATGACGTAGGGGGAGAGCTGGCGGAGGTGCGAATGGCCCAAATTAGCATATGAATGCAGCGAATGTTTATGCAAAGAAAGAGCTTTATTAACAACACACAAACCACAACTACATACAAAGCGAGGATCTGCCCACACTTGGGTAACGGCGGTTTAAAAAAAACTACAGCTCAGTAAACTGTCCGTTTGCCTCCTCGGGGTTGTAGACCGTCACTGGCGCCGTGTTTTCAGAGGCAGGTCTGTTGTGCAGGCGCCTCGTGTGTGTGGCGACCGTACAATCCACCCCGAGACCCCGCCAACAACGCCGTCCCCTCCGTCCGACGTGAGCTCTACGGTGGCGGAGTTCCACCTCGTCATCAGCCAGCACACTTTGTCTCGATTCCAGCAGCTGTAAAAACAACAATGAATCAGTACTGTGCGATGCGATGCGTACGGACACAACACATCTATCAATGCACCTGAAACAAGTCAGCAAATAAACTCTGACCCTCTTTCTTCTCGCTCGACTCCGCGCTGAATTCTTCGCAGCTTCCGCCCGCAGTGAGTGTTCCGCCTGAACCTGAAGCTCCTGCGTCCAGTCTCAAAATACGTCTCACAGGCGGCTGGAAAACAATTAAATGAGTGTGGTATGAATACAAAAAAAAAAATCAAAATCAAGTCACGGTAACATTTAACAAGAAAAGGATAAACAGTGGCACTTACATACAATGACGTCGTCTAAATCTGGACTTTTCCCGGAGCAAATACGAGGTCACCGCCTCATTATGAGGAGAGATTAGTCTGTGAAAACAAAATGTACAGTTATGATCGGTATCCATCCTATGGTATCTATACGTATATATTTCCTTATACCGCATGGATGAAAGCATATTCTTTAAATCTGACCCTTGCTCCGGTTCGTAGCGCCTGTAATTCGTCTCGGCGTTGTGAAGACGGCGCACCGCTTCCTGTAAACGACACGGCAAAGAAAATAGACTTTAATAAAGCTGTTTCTGCTCACTTGTAAGGCTACTAGGCTACTCTTAGCTTAGCTTGAGGCTACGCTACTTTTAGCTTAGCTTGCAGTCATCGAACGTATTCTTACCGCTATCTTGGGATTGTGCGCCCGTCTCCTCTTCTTTGAGTCGGTTCCTCGCCTCCATGGACAGAAACCCGCAGAGTCCCGAACGCTCCAGTAAAACCGCTCGTTGATATCGGCAGTTTGTTGTTGGAGTTGACGAGACGATCCACGGAGAGCATTCAGCAGCTTCTTCTCGTCTGTCTGCGGACTGGCCGAAAGTTGGTGACCGCGGAGAGGAGTTGAAGGCGAGTTGAACGCGAGACGTCGTCCAGCCATTATTCACGAAGCAGCAAAAACCAAACAAAGGAACTGGAGATACAGTTCTTCTGAACGTAGTAACAGACACACACGTGTCTGTTTGTATGCTCGTCTTGCAAGTACTGCTGTATCAGTCATGCCTATGACCTCACACGTGATTGGACGAGGAGTCTAAGGGTCCTCCAATCACATACGAGGTTATTGTTATACGGAAGGACCAGTATTTTAGGAAGACAAATGGTTGGGACTTTGTCGTGGAATGAAACAGCTGATATGCTTTATGTAAAGCAGTGTTTTGGTGTCAGCAGAACGAATTTCCCTAGAAAACTGTACAGTGGTGCCTCTTTCTCCATTCCACCAGACAATCTTGAGTCTGACATACATGCAATGTTGACAATGTATCATCAGATGTACCCTTGTGTCACTGAGGTTGAATGTTTTGCCATGACATGTAAACGGGTAACATATATGAATGTAACTAAAGGTGGTGGAGCATCCAAGTGGTGTGGAAACACTAACAGTTTTGAGGAACCCGTCCTTGACCCTCTAGCAGAACTACGACCAGCCATTATAAAGCAGTTTATAGTTGTTAATGTTGGGTCAAAGGGTACGGCATTTAAACATGTTCTTGCACAAGTTTCCTGGCTTCATCCCCATCTGGACAGACATTTTTATGGAAAGCCAATAGAAGTTTGGGGCTTGCAGGGAACAGACACGTCATACCCAGCATCATTTCTGCCAGTTGAGCGCATTGCTAGAAGATGTGTGGTTAATACATCCTCTGTGCATTTAAGTAAGACCAAAGAAAAGGTCACTGAAGTCCTGCCACTATGTACTGTAGTTGAGCTCTAGGAGACTGATCTCTGCAGACCCCTCATGCTGATTCAAATGTTGTTTGCATGGAATGCTCATTATACCTTGATTAAAACTCATCTTTTAAAGACGTTATTTTGTGTATCTTTTTTACATAACATTTGCCATTGCTAATGGCGTACACAGTAATCTAGCATATTTGAATTAAATAAATAAATTCAAGCTAAAATGTAAGAGTCTATAATTAGGCTACTGAGCCTGATCTATTTGTACCGGAGATTTTCTTACCTTTTAAAAAAATGTCACCTGGGCTAAAACTCCCTCTGCGACCCTGATTTGCATTTGTATAGCTCACAGCATTTTCATTTACATGTCAAAGCCTCCCCTAGAATTAGGAGGAGGGGGGTCATGGGGGGGACAACTGCCAAGGGAGGTCCACATCAATTTATGACAATTTCCGGCAGTTTTCGGCATTGCCCGCAAATTGCCGTAAACCTGAAATTCCATGACAATTTACAATGCCGCATACTGCCGAAAATCCCACTTTTCATGCAGTGAGAGCATATCCAAACGAAACCACCCCCCCCACTCCACTACAAAAACACACACCTGGAGACTGCACAGATGGGGTGGGAGCTCTACAACTAGTCCCCTTCAGCGCCCAGTCCTGCACCCAAACCAGCCGTAGTCGTTCCCGAGACAAGTCTGGAGCTGGGGAAACCTGGGGAAAACTCTACATTTAAACCAGGAAGTAATCTGGCCTCACCTGTTGGGAATCAATAATTAAAGTGGTGTGGCCAAACAGGTAGAGGGAGCTCTTCCCATCACACATATGACAAAAAAAATTGTTCACTTTGCGAGGGTCCATCGGTGCTCTTTTTTCTATAGCTTTTCGAGATATATTTCTACTGAGCAGAGGTCGCACAAACTTTGCAATTCTCCCTTTATACTGATGTTGCTAATTAACGTGATTGCTTAATCCCCGGTGTATTTTCGGATTTCAGGTCTGTAAAGCACTTTAACGGTGTGGATGTAATGTGTAAATAACTGTATAAAGCATCACGAAAAAGCACAGATAAAGTGTTCAACGATACGCCACCAAAACACCAGTTGTCTTGGTTCTGTTAGGGTTTCGGAAAGCTCTCGAGGGAGGCCTCACTCCTTTGTTCTCGTCCCGGCCGGAAACGAGGACACGAATGAGTCAATTCGTTTAAATTCAAAAATCAAAAGTTATTTAATAACTGAACAACGTTATAAGGAATGCAATTACAAAGTGAAATACTAAGCGAACAGTGGAATATTTCGCGAAATAGAGAATCCTCTGAGCAAGTCTAAAGTGACTTTTCAAGGCGGCTGCAGGTCAGATTCTCCCAGTCCTTTCCCCCGCCATGGTCCTTTGAAACCTCTTGAGGTGTGTCTTCCTTGGTGCATTTGTATGGCGTTATATTTGTGCCACAATCCTGAGCGCGTAATTTTAAGTTTTGAGCACAGAGAACTATGTTGTAGCAAAGAAAAACATTCCGTGCGCGCAGTTTACTCAGGTGCCCTCGCCACAAACTGGTTTTCTGCGCGCAGGCAGCCGTTGCTGCGCTCGCTCCACCTCGTCACGCTGCGCTCGCTCCACCTCTTCACTCTGCGCTCGCTCGACTTGCAGCAGCGTTACATTTGTGCCACAAAACCAACCAATCAGAGAATTAAAGAAGGTCCATTGTGATTGGCTGTTGGTCTCCAATCACAACGCTAGTAGAACTACCTACAGCATCGCGGAAGCTCAGCGAGTTGTTGAAGTTTGCAGCATTTGTGCTAAATGCTAATGGCCTGGATTAAAACACTTGCTGTCCTCATCATTTGCTTCGGTCATGTCTGATGGTGGCTAGTCGGACTTCTAATATCACTCGTTTTCGTCTTCTTTAGGAAGCGTTGTGATTGGAGACCAACAGCCAATCAAAATGGACCTTCTTTAATTCTCTGATTGGTTGGTTTTGTGGCACAAATGTAACGCTGCTGCAAGTCGAGCGAGCGCGTGAGTGAACCGTCGAGCGAGCGCAGCGTGAAGAGGTGGAGCGAGCGCAGCAACCGCTGCCTGCGCGCAGAAAACCAGTTTGTGGCGAGGGCACCTGAGTAAACTGCGCGCACGGGATGTTTTTCTTTGCTACAACATAGTTCTCTGTGCTCAAAACTTAAAATTACGCGCTCAGGATTGTGGCACAAATATAACGCCATACATTTGAATGTCATTGGCTTCTTCTCCAAAGGGCCACCTCCTGGACTGTCCCCTTCACGTCGAGGTGTGAAGCTGCAGCTGTAACCTGAAACCTCTCGGTCCTATCTGTCCCTCACATTCCAATGCACTCAATGTAGATTCAGTTGGCTTTATGGCCCAGTGAGTGAATTTAACAAAGCATACATCGTTTAAGTCTTCATCTTATAACTAGTACACCTTAATCACAACAACCCATCATTAATGATCACCGTTCATCACACTTCATCATAAGATTTAAGACAGTTCATGTGGTTCAATTCTCAAGACATTTGCCTCAGTCGGCTGCCTCGCATTAAGTTGTTCATTTATTACCTGACAGGAGAAAAAACTCCCAAAAAACCCTCTTTGGGGATAAAATTGGGAGAAATCCATAAAGAACGGCAATTAGCATCCATCCCCAGGTTTTAACATCACATTGTGACAGAATGTTAATGTGTACAGTGTTTATATGATTTAAATGACTATGAATTGTGTTTGATTGAAATTGCATTCACTTAATCTAACATGTTAATGTAATAACTAATATCTAATAACTCACAAACTATAATTCTAACACTAAACATTATTACACGTACTATAATTTCCTGACTAGGGGTGCACTTCTGGCTTAAATCCCTAACAGTTCACTCTGAACGAAGAGGTTTACAACTGTATACAATTTAATAAAAGAATAAGGGAATCATCAATGTCAACTATCAAGCTAGAGTGGCTGACCGCTTAGTGCAGACGCCCCAAAATGTCTTGTTATTTTGCTCGACAGGGTTCGAATCCAAATTGTGGCGATCTTTCATTAAAAGATATTTTAATCTATATTTTCTTAAATGACTTTCTTAAGTGGCTGTGATGCACGATGACTGTCAGAATTCCCCCCTGCAGCCTCGCGAAAGAGTATCGATACACAGGTTTGGAAGTGTTCCGCAATACGCCACCAAAACCAGTTGTCGTGGTTCACTCTGAACCAAAAGGTTTTCTAGCCACTGACGATGTACATTTTGATCACAAGTATAAGAAACAGCAGAGAGAATAGTAAGCTCGAGTGGCTGACGGCGTAGCGAGTCCGTTTTGTAAGGTATTGTTATTTTGCTTCACAGGGTTCGAATCCATGTCGAGGCGATCTTTTAATAAATATATTTTCTTCAATGTATATCTTCATACGTGGCAGTGATGTAGTGCTCACTAATACAATCGTAATCGCTGCAAAGGACATGTGATGACTTTTGAAAATTTTCAGCAATATGTTAGCGAATGTGTGACCAATCAGGTGACTGAGGCAGAAAACATCTGCCGCTGTATGGGGAAACAAACACGCACGCGTAGACAAACCAGTAGGTTCAAAAACCAGTGGGCACGTAACAACGTCATTTAGTCACGTGACATGAAAACCTCTGGTTTAAAGTAAAAAATACACTTTAGGTAAAAGTATTTCTGTTCATTTACTCTGAGGGGCGTATGTTTTAGTTTCAGGCAAACTGAAAAACCCTGGTGTGAACCAAAAATGACAATTTTGACTTGGACTTAAGTACAAATTCACACATGCCACGAAGCTTTACTTTTTTCAGTGTAATGATCATCCGCAAATTTCAGGGGCTGTTAGTGTACAGGGAGAAGAGCAAAGGTGAAAGAACACACATACATTTCAAAGTCGTATTCAGCCATTCCACCAGCCAATCAGTCTGGAGGTGATAAACACTGGTTCGAACAGACTTAACCCCCAGCAATCCGTAAAGTTCCCTCAGTGTGCGTGACATGAACAAGGTTCCCTGGTCAGTTAGAATCTCTTTTCGGACTCCAACTTGGGAGATGACCTGAAACTGAGCCTGCGCAACACTATTTGCAGAAATGTTGCGAAACGGCGCTGCCTCTGGATATTGTGTTGCGTAATCCACCAGAAGTAACACAAAGCGATATCCCCGTGCGCTCCGTTGAAATGGCCCAATGAGGTCCATGTAGCGTAACTTGGGAGCTAGCGCGTTATTCTCTCCATAGGAGGCTCCGTTGGTTCCCCCTCCCTGTCTGCAGTGTCAGGCGGGAGTTAACCGCAACCGTCACTTTATGCTTTTTCTCTGCAAATTGAATCTCTATTGGCACCATTGGGTAATTGTGAACATCCTCATGCCATATAAGTATATATCAGGGCCCACAGCTGCATCCAAGGTTCCTACAGCAGAGGACGAATCAGGATCAGTTCATGAAGTCGTTATTACTCAGGTCGAACGAAATACACGGCTAAACAGAGCTGTGACTCTGTCAGTCTGGCTACAGCGCTGAAGAGAAATCTGGGGTTGTTTTATTTTTTTTCGAAATATGGTGAATCGTTAATCCTAGGTGGAGAAACAGAGTCACCGGATATAGAGCAGCAAGACAAGAAACTTTCGAAACTGAAATCTCACTCTATCTCGAACAAACACGGCATGGACTGAATGTCAGGGCTGCTTTTAAATACCCTCCTGATTGTGGACAGGAACCAGGTGTGTGATCCGGGACAGCTGCGCGTTATCCAGGCCCACTCCCCGTTATCATGGCAACTGGGACGCTAAACAGGGACAAGACGACAACATAACACACAACACCCTGATCACGCAATCGCCGTGATAGCCCAACTAACAAACATTGGCTTATCCATTATTTGAGCATTCTTATTTTTAGTTCTTGGATTTTTGGGGAAAGCTCCATCGCATCCAATTCCATGAAGACTTTCTAAAAACAGTTAAAGGTTTGTAATGTTTGACTTGTTAGATTTGACAGTTAATATATCGATATTAAGTGCCGCCACTGATTTATTGATAGCCATAATATCTAGAAAGCGGCATTTCTCAGCTTTCAGAATCCGTTAGAATTACGTAGATTGTGCTAATAGTTAAGGAGTCATGGTAATTTGAATCCTCCATGTCACTTTCCATCGCTGGCTAAAGGCTTCGGACTAACAGGGTTAAAAGACAGTCAGTCCGTCTGTCCAATCAGAAGGATCCGTCCTCTGCTATAAGGCACCCACCCTTTCCGTAAGACGTTAATGTCATTGTGTTTTCCTATTTGCCGTTGTACTTTCTTATTGGTCTTTGTGTTTTCCTATTTGCCGTTGTGTTTTGCACTTCAAGGCCACCGTATGTAACAGTTCGAGGGTGTGGTTCGGCAACCCTCGAACTGCAAAAGAAGACTGAGGAGCATGTGCAAGAAAGGGACAGAAGGTCTCTTTAGTTGACAATGAGGAGATCAAACATTTTTTTATTCATCACACTGTATGCATAGTAATGAATAGCACAAAATGGAGAATTGTTTTGTAATGTGAATGGTGTTAAAAATAAGTAAACGTTTTAGAAATGTTCTTTCCATATATTGTCGTTTCACACAAAGCATATTAAATATCAGAGAATGTGTGACATTTAAATAGTGAGTGGGTTAAAATCGCAATGTCAGAGACAATACCTTATATATCAACAAACATTAAACTTACTGAAGAACCAAACAACTCTTAGCCTGATGCTATCAGCAGTATAATTGGAGGCACATCAAGCATTTTTTGAGAAAAAAAATTCCACTATGTTTTATTACTCCAATATATACTTTAATTCACAATAAGGATAAATACAGGAGGAATTTGTCACAATCATTACGTTGCAATAGAATTAGCAAATTTGGATAATAAAATTGCCCATATTCTGGCAGCAAGATTACTTCCATAACTGGAAAGGTGACACATTAACCAAACTGTTTTTATAAAAAAATCTACATTCACATCTTCTAAATCATTCAATAATATATATATAACAGAATGCTGAAAAAAAATCGATTACAACATACAGAAAAAATAAAAGGGTGGTTGAAAAAATGTAACATGTTACTGTAATAATTGCGAAAGACTTTCCGTGACAGGCTGTCTGTGCTTTCACCTCAATGCGCCAGTGTTTGTACATACCTCGCCATGCTTTTATGTGCACAATCTCCCAACATTGTATATGTATATAATGTTGGGAGATTGTGCAACCTCCCTTACTCATCCCACTGAAATGAATCAGAGATTACTCGTAATATAAAAAGTGCACTGGGATTTTTTTTATCTTCTTGAGTTACTGTAAGCGGTTGTCAGTCCCTGAAAAATGTATGAATGTGATAATGACATGTAAAATTGTTAAAAAACTAGCCTGTGAATTAAGAACCAAAAAATAAAAAGTGGAACATAGTTGAATAAAAATTTCAAAATTTAAACGAAATGATTAAAAAGGTATCTCCCTGCTGGAGCAAAGCTGCTGTTCTCATGGGCCTGGCGGCGGTAGTACCTGCGGAGGGCAGGGCTGCCAGGATGGCACTGTCTCACATGGAGAAAGTACTCGTCGGGGCGGCTTGAGGTATAACCACAATCCTCACACACAAAGATCTTAGAGCGTCTTTGGCGGTAGGCATACTGTTGGTGAACGCTGTGAATCTTCCTCATATGAGACTCAAGAGAGCAGCGCTGTGTGAAGGCTTTCTCACACAGCTCACACTTGTAGGGACGAATACCTGCAGCAGAGGGAGACAAAAAAGGAATATCAAGGAAGGATCAATCAACCACTAAATAGCCAGGATGCTACATTCCTTAAACATCCCCAATACCAACTTGCTTCCTGAAAATTGCAAACAGGAGCTATGGATTTAAACATTTCATTCACTAGCAAGGACCACGCTTGGATGCGTTTAACCATTCTAAAGTCTAGGCGGACTGATGGGTTGTGGGGATCTGCCGTGGCGCCTGGGCACGACAATCCCCTGAAAAATATGAGGTGTGATTAAGCGGCTTAAGCGGGGATTCTAAAGGAGCGTCCGGAGTGGGCTACGAGGTGTAAGAAATGACGGATGACGAGCAAATGTTACGGAAGTGCTGGTGGAACCAGAATCTGGTAACTACGATTTAGTCGGAAGAGTTAGTCGGTTCGTTGGTGATTGGCTCTGAGATTTTGGAAACAGCAAGGAAATGGTCTTGAATGGACTCATGGGTGACAGTGTCTTAAAGTAAAAGATGGGTAAAGGTCGACCTGATTCATAGTTTTTGTTTGCTTAGTCGGAAATGCAAGCATATATATACTGTATATGGCCATCTTGGAATGAGCAAAATTGAAGCTGTGTGCGGCGACGGATGATGTCATGAACCCAAACACAACACCGTTTGCGGTTCCACGGTTGTGTAATTCACCCAACAAATAAAGAGCAGAAATAGTCGTTATTTATTTCCATGGTGGATAGCGGAAACTGTCTTTAAGGAAAAAAGCCGCAGAGATATGCCACATCCTTTGAGGTGCGAATGAAGCGAAAAAAATGGGACGCGAATGAAGCAAAATAACTACAACAAGTCAGGCAGGTAAAGTCGCGCGTGTAAAGCGTTGCGAAAATTCTTTTTGCTTTTGGTGTGAACGCAACATAAGGCGAGAGTGGGAGATGACAATCAGGAGCTCACGCCTCTGTATCACCCTTCCCTTCCCCACCCCCACACCAGTAGCTACCCTCTCTATTCTGGAGAGAGTCATTAACAGGCTATTTAAAAAACAAAACCCCCACAAAGCAGCCGGTCCGGACTCTGTCTCCCCCCACACCCTGAAGCATTGTGCTGATCAGCTGTTTCAGGTGTTCACAGACACCTGATAATCAAAAGTTCTTTTCATGGGCTTAGTTGGGGGTTCGCTGTCTTGTCTTGATTTAAGAGTTAGGTAAGGAGCAGGCAGACACGAGTCTGACAGGATGGGGAGTCAGTTTATGTCCTGGCTGAGGAATGCATGGTCTGCGGGTCAACTAGCAGATTTACCAGCCAAAGGGGGGTTAGAGACACACCAACACTATTCAACATACACACTCTGTTCGCTGATGTTTACGTTAAGTCAGGAGTCTGGACATTGGATGTGACCGGATCTTTAGATGCGGGAGGTGGAAGGTCCTCCTCTACGCCAGTTTAGGGCCAATAGAAATCTTTCCTTCTCTGTCTTTCAAGGGTTATAAAACATTATGTTCTTGCTGATGTTAGTTAGTTGTCCATCGTTTACAGATCTGCTGTCAACATGGCCCTTCACTTCATCCACCAGCATCTGGGCTCCCCAGCAACCTACGCCAAGATCCTGTTTGTGGACTTCAGCTCTGCATTCAACACCACCATTCCGTCTCTGCTGCAGGACAAACTCTCTCAGCTGCACGTGCCTGACTCCACCTGCAAGTGGATAACTGACTTCCTGTTTGACAGGAAGCAGCTTGTGAAGCTGAGGAAACATTTTCCTTCTGCTCTTCTCTCTGTACACTAACAGTTGCGCCTTCAGGCACCAGTCCGTCAGGCTCCTGACGTTTGCGGATTACACCAAGGACATTGGACTCATCTCTGGTGGGGATGAGTCCGCCTGCAGGACTGGTGACGTGGTGCAGCCGAAACAACTTAGAGCTCAACGTACTCCATCATGTTTGGTATGCTGCATACACAGCCAAGGACAAGTTGGCTGCAGGGTGTCATTCGCTCTGCATGGAGGATGATCAGCTGCAATCTGCCGTCCCTCCAGGACTTGTTTGCCTCCAGGACTGTGAGGCTCTCTCGCTACAGAAACTGTTTTTTCCCGTCAGCAGTTGGTCTCATAAAGCAAGTCTCAGTCCTCCATTGAGCCAATACTCCATCCCGGAAACATTTTGCACAGTGGTTTGTCACACCATGGAAACATATGTACATACACATGTAATGGTAAATGGTCTGTACTTGTATAGCGCTTTTCTAGTCTTCTGACCACTCAAAGCGCTTTAACACTACATGACATCATTCACCCATTCACACCCATCCATACACTGATGACAGGAGAACCATACACAGTGACACCTGCCATCAGTAACTACCATTCACACACTGTAGTCGCAACTACAGGAGCAATGTTGGGTTAAGTGTCTTGCCCAAGGACACAACGGCATGCGGGTTAGCCGGGCCTGGGATCGAACCGACAACCCTCTGATTGGAGGACGACCGTGCTCCCCACTCACCCACAGTCGCCCTTTAATGTAACATGTGCTTTAACGTACTTATCTGTTTATCTTGTGTTCATTTTTGCTTGTATGTTTTTATCTTATTTTACTCTTTTTCTTAGATTCAATGAGATATTTGCTACAAACGTTTATACTGGGGGAATGTGCAACGTGTCTGTGGCGTAATCCCATTACGTCTCCCCACAGCGTTGCCAGCACATGTTTCAAAAACACATAAAAAGCAGGCTGATCAGGAATCATGTGCTATCTCAGAGATTCGCACAGCAGCATTCCTGGAAAATCATGAAGAGTGACGTTTTTCCATGAACTTGAATGAGGTGTTGGCTGTGGCGGATTACCAATAGAGAGGAGGACATGGACCTGGATGTACTTGACCCCATGTCGATGGTATGAAATTGATATGAATAAGGACGCAGGTAAATGTAAATGAGTATCTTTTACGACCTGTGATGCCGTGAATGTTTTTTCCGTAAACGCAGCGTCTCAACAGTAGTGAAGCAAAGCATCGTCAATAAAGGAATGTATCTTTTTCATCTTGTCCATTTCCTTCTTTGGCTAAGTGCAAAGCTTTAGAAATAAAAATGAAGGTATTCTGTATTTTCTCCTATACCCTGAAACAGGTAATTTGGTCGATGTTTGGTTAACCTACACGGACCAATGCGACTAATCACCTGTAAAAACGTGTGTATGTAGTCTAACTCACTACATTAAGCCTTCACCGGAGAACTTTTTTTTTTTCAAGTTATATAGCATGCCTCTGCCTTTTCAACGTTGATGACGTTTAATTTATGATATGCATTATTCCTTGCGATGCAAACTGGGTTGCATATGACAGCCGGACCAACCATGACAGTAGGCTACCCTAAAGTACAGTAGAAGACTATTTTGATGATGTTAAACTGGTTCTGAAACATTCTCAGTTTAATACTCATGCCTTGAATTTACCTACATAAGTATACAAGACCATCAGAGAGATGTCTATTTATGCATATTCTATATATTCTTTGTGCTTTCCACTAGTTCCGAGTCAGATTCCGTGTAAAATCAGATGAAATCATGCAGGTTGATCAACTCCTTCAGCTCAGACTTAGATACTTTTTAATGACTGCTGTTCTGAAACATAACCACTTTTTCCAATGGAAACCTTTCAAAATCAACACATAATGCAAGTTCCTTGTAGTAGCATTTAGTACAACTTTAAGAGCATTCACAGTTCACTTGGGTTTTACTGAGGGCCATTTACTTTTACCTGTAGTTCAAGTCACTTTTTTAAATAAGCAATGAACATATCAATTATATCATGTACAATAGAGCTTGCAAGCTACTTTTCGACCAAGTCATGCAAGTCAGGCAATGTGAATGACTTGATTTTTTTTTCAATGGCAGGCGATCTACCGGCCCTGCCCTATTGGGGACCCCTGCAATAGAATATCCTGAAAAGCACCTCATAGGATTATCCTTTAAGTCCTAAACATTATGGATGGCTGGATTGTGCATGGTCATTTTCTGAATGCACATGACATCTTGTAGTCTGTCCATCCCGGGAGAGGGATCCCTTCTCTGACATTCTCCCTAAGGTTTCTTTTTGGGGGAGTTTTTCCTGTGCCGATGTGAGGGTTTCGGGACAGAGGATGTTGTGTGTGTACAGACTGTAAAGCCCTCTGAGGGCAATTTGTAATTTGCAATTTTGGGCTATATAAAATAAAATGAATTGAATTGCAGACACGTTTTCACACAGTGATAGTGGTAGCATCTGTAATGAGAATTTGTGGAACTTTTTGTAGTGTTCCTGGTGTGTATAAGTGTAGGTACGTGAGGTATGTGGCCAAGTTTATTCCTGACCTGTGTGTGTTCGCATATGCCTCTTGAGGTCGAAGGTATCGTTGAATCCTTTGCCACAAAATCGGCAAGGATGTCTCTTCACCAAGTTGTGGCACTTCAGGTGTCGCGTCAGCATGCGCTGCAGAGGGAATATCTTGTAGCACATTGAGCACACAAAGTCTCCTGATCCGGGGGAGGAACGGGGACGCGGCTGGAAAGAAAAAAATGATTGATGAATATTAAAATGTGGGTGTTATCTGCATCAATATTTTTTTCTCCATCTCAAACGCTTACAGGGAACAATTTCTTGCCTAAATAATTATCAATCCACACCGGATTGGATTGATAATTATTTACGACTAGTATTAATGTTACATTTATTTTGAACTATAACTACAGGCTGGCGTGGATATCCGGCTGCGCCCTCTGGTATGAAGTTTGAAGCTGCCTTATCTCGGCAGATAGACACAGCTAACCTACCTTCACTTTTTCTTTCAATGTAGAGGACTAGACATGTGCCATTACACTGAAGTAAGTTACCCTCTATATTGTGATCTTCACGAGGCATACATTTTTACATATATACACAATCTTTCTTCTTAGAATTAAAGTTCCTTCCCACCATTTATAAAGACTTAGGTATTGAAACAGCTTCCTCCATGAAACCCCTATATGCCTCAACAAAGATCCCAACACGTCCAGTGAGGGCTGAAACATACATTGGATTCCCTATTACTGCATTAGTGACATGCTAACTCCCTCTAACTGTCTTTATCTTTGAGCAGCATTACTTAATAAGCCCCTAACTCTCTTTCACAGTGCCAAAAGTACTTACTGAATAATGCCATAGCAAATAAGCTTACATATGTCCTTCAACCATTTTTCCCCCAAGCTTTTGGCCAATCTAGCTTTTAGAGTCAGGCCTTCTGTCATGCTATCTTTAGCTTTCTTCCCCTGCCTACAGAGATGACTCCCCTGTCCACTGGGTCTGTCAGTTAACACTTAGAATTATCCTACCTAAAACCACCATCTACCAACTCAAAATGAATTGAAAATGAAATGAATAGATTAAATACCCCATCTTCTCTGACTTATTTTTTATTCGTATTCAGTATATTTCAGTATATTTGTCTTTATTACCCAAACAAGTGAGTACAGAGGATATTAGCCAATAGATATATTTTTTAATTTTGCACACAAAACTAGGATTTTTGTCTACTTGGCTAAAATCCTAATAAAGACAAAGATATACCTTCGTAATTTAGCACTTGAGTAAACAGTTCCGCACATGCCTTTTGTCATATCCTTTATACTTTGGGTCGCTACCTATCACTCCTCTTTCCTCGGATGCCTACTGTCCCTTTTCTCCTGCTCTTCAGTGCTACTTCCTGCTTCCTTGTTGGCAGGGATGCTGTTATCCTGTGAACTTTGGTTACTAACATGTCACAGGGCTTCAAACTCGTTCATTCATCTCTAGTTATATTTGTTGTATCTTTGATGGCTTTCACTGATGTGCTTTCCCTGCTCAATGGGAATTTTGTTCCCAAGATAAATAGCCAGCGTTCCTGACTACAAGTCCGAAACCTGTTCTTGATAAACTTTGAGGTGTGCTTTTTCCCCCACTTCTAGCAGTAACTGGGGCAGTTTAACATACTAAATTGCTGGCATCATGGATTGCTAGATCATTTCAACCTCAGTTCATGTCTGCTGTCTTTCCTGTCAGCTGCTCCATTCACAACCATGTCTAGCTAATGCTGGTTCTGACACAAAAAAGTGAGTAGGGTGAGCATACATATGGAAGCTTAGTGAACTTTTGAATATCAAAAATATTATAAGAATGCTACTACACTTGACAAGAAAATGGGACCTATAACCTTTGCTCTGTGAAGTGCCAGTGTAGTGGGTTCGTAGATGGAGCTCCGGAGCATGACTGTGGACCAGCTCGGCCTGTTGTCAGCCCCTGGTCTTCCTGATGACACTCTCATTCCTCCTGTCTCACATCCTAAGGTGATGACTGACTGAGACACAGTAGCAGGCTGTTGGGGATCAGGACAGCTGGGGGTCTGCTTCATACAAATTTCATCAACTAAAAGCGTATAAAAAGAAACAATTGTTTGCTTTTTAAGTGAATTAACAAGGTGAAATTAAATATCTAAAAATACAAACATAGAAATACAAATATCCATGACAGCTTCAGATGAATAAACTACTAGAAATTACTGTTAACATTTGACAATTGAAAGCACCACCTATCTGAAGAATCAAATTCAAATTCTTACCGAATGTATTATCTTCTTTCCATTCAAGCTGTTCTGGCTCTTTCCACTGCCATGCTCCACATGCTCCACGTTTCTTTTTCACAAGGAAAGACCTCGGCATCCTTTGAATTTGATTCGTCTTAGTTCTCTTTTTCTTCTACTTCTGTTGATTTTATATCTCTTACTCAACCTCTGATCTTTGCACAGCCACGCCACTTCTAGTTTTGTGGACCAACCTATATATTACCTTACTCATCAGTCAACAACGTGCAGGTAAAGTATGTCTGCAAAATCACAGTGGTCATTTCCATAACACTCCCTTGGAAGAGTAGGTAGGTTTGGAGCTCTAGAGCATGGGGGGGCGGGGTGAGGGGCTCAGTATTTTGACTGATGTACACCTGTGTTTATTGTGTGCGTGCACTATTTGAACTGGTCTCCACTGGTTTTGCATTTCAGGTAGTGAGAATCCGGAAAGCTTCGCATTCAAGTGGCCCTTGGCATGCAAATTATAGCCCCGGACCAAGCCCTGGCCCTAGACAAAGGGCATGGTTTGAGTAACAGGAGCAAGTACAGAGGAGCCACAGCCTTAACTGCTAGGTAAATGAGCCCTTTCTCTTTGTAGCCTCTTTCTGTTGCAATTGTTTAGTTGGATCACAGCTTTAAAAAATTCACACAAGTGGCCGAGTCGGCCTTGTCCACTCGATAGACTGAACAGAAAAGGGTGATTCAGAATACAGATACATTACTTTGATATCCATTGAATAACTGAGTTCTGCCAATGAACAACACATTTAAAAAGAAAGCGTTACCACACTGTCTAATTTTCTGCACTTTGAGTGCATGCATTGAAGGAAAATGAACTGCATCTTATTTTTCCTGGACTCTGCGTACATGTAAATGCAAATGAAGCTTGAGACTAAAGCCCATCATGCAAATAGCAATAGAGGTCACTCCAATAACATCAGCAGGATCATGTACAAACTGTCCGGTAGTATTAACACATTTAGTGCATTATTAAGCAACTGTACGCCCCGCTTTTCAGCTGCGCCATTCCCAGTATATTTTCCCACTAACAAATACAAAACAGAAAAGGCATCTAAATGGTTCATAAACATTAAGAAGGAAAAGCTAGACAACTACAACAGTCTGTCCGTCATTGTTGGTGGGATAGATTTTTCGATTTCTCTCGATTCTCTCTAGAACGATTAGGTCTCGATTCAGAAAAGTTAATAATCGGAATTAAAAAAAAAAAAAAAAGTCTATCTCGCGTGAGCAAAAGCCCGTCTCGCGCGAGATATTTGCTCCCTCGCGGAGCGTGAACTTCCTCGCTCGCGAGGTTAGTCAAGTCAAGTCAAGTCAAGTCATTTTATTTTGTATAGCCCAGAATCGCAAATTACAAATTTGCCTCAGAGGGCTTTACAGTCTGTACACATACAACATCCTCTGCCCCGAAACCCACCATCGGCACAGGAAAAACTCCCCAAAAAATGAAAAAACCCTTACAAGAGGGAAAAAAGGGAAGAAACCTTAGGGAGAACGTCAGAGGAGGGATCCCACTCCCGGGATGGACAGACTACAATGGATGCCATGTGTACAGAATGAACAATGTATAATACATGCAATTCCTATGACAGAAATGATTCAAGTAATTGTGAGTAGTAAGCCAGGCGCACAGCAGGACCACTGCAGGGGCAACCACCATCAGATAGAACCACCATCCACAGAATCCTGTGGGGAGGGAGAGCACAGAGATTTTAGGAGAGGGTAATGTCGGTTTATGAGTAAAGTAATATGATTAATATCTAAAATAATGATGATGATGGCAGCAGCAGGCGTCAGCATGGCCACGGTAGGTGTCAGGACCAGGGTCCCGAAGGAACCACAATCTACGGAGACCTGATAGGGGCGAAAGCACAAAAAAAACTCCCGGAAAGAAGCTGAATTAGTCATGTGCATTAATAAAACTTGAATTATGGTAGAACGAGAGCGTGAGAGAGGAGCTTGGTGTGTCCTAAGAATTCCCCCGGCATTCTAAGCCTATAGCAGCTTAACTAAGGGCTGGTCCGGACTAACCTGAGCCAGCCCTAACTATAGGCAGAATCAAAGAGGAACGTTTTAAGTTTTACTTTAAAAGAGCTGACCGAATCTGCCCCCCGGACTGAAAGTGGAACCTGGTTCCACAAAAGAGGAGCTTGATAACTGAAGGCTCTGGCCCCCAGCCTACTTTATAAAACCCTAGGAACAACAAGTAACCCAGCATCTATGGAGCGCAGTTGCCTTGTAGGGCAATACGGTGTTACAAGCTCTTGAAGATACAACGGTGCCTCACCAGCAAGTGCCTTGTAGGTGAGGAGAAGTACCTTAAAATCTATTCTTGATTTAACAGGGAGCCAGTGCAGAGAAGTTAATACAGGAGTGATATGATCCCTTTTCTTAGTTCTTGTTAGTACACGTGCTGCAGCATTCTGAATCAGCTGGAGAGGCTTAAGAGATTTATAAGAGCAGCCTGATAACAAAGAATTACAGTAGTCCAGTCTGGAAGTGACAAACGCATGAACTAATTTTTCTGCATCACTTTGAGACAGGAAGTTCCTGATTTTTGATATGTTACGTAGATGAAAATAGGCAGTCCTTGAAGTCTTCTTTATATGCGAGTTGAAGGTCATATCCTGGTCGAAGAGAACTCCCAGATTCCTGACGGTGCTGCTGGGTACCAGTCTCTGCTCTCTGAGACTAAGAGCATGGTTCTACGTGTGTTGCAGAGCAATTCACCTTCCATAACAACAGGCGGAGTAACGTGTTTTGTTGAAGACGACCTAGATAGTCACGTCTATTCATTTATTTGTTTATTTATTTATCATATACTTTATTGCCCCGTGCATCGCCACTGTTGCTTTTCATCGCGGACACATTTGTCCCGTATTTTCCTCCACAACTTTGTGCACCTCTCGACCGGCAAACCGGCGTTTGTGTCGATCTCCCTCCGTGAATCGAACCCGCTTCTACAACCCGTCAATGACGGCTTGTATAAGCGGTCATATTTGCGCATTTCTTCCGACAAAACTTCTTAAATCTGATCCGTTCTGTCGTAAACATTGTTTGTTTTAATAATGGCGGTATCGGGCTATGAAAGCGGAAATGTGAGACTCTGTAAAGGATGTAGTTAGCAGACCAATCGCAGCCTGGTGCGCTGCGGGAGGCTTGCGTTGCTTGCATGGCTCGACACACGCAAGCACGCAAGGAGGTGTGAAAAGCGACGCAAGGGACACGCAAGGGGGGCTTGCGTCTGCGTCGCTCTGAAAACGCAGAAGCATAAATCAGGCTTTAAGAGCAGCTTTTTCTTCATTTAAAATTAATCTGTTTAATATTTTTTTTACATAGGCTACTTCCATATTGTGTTGAAATGCAAGCTACATTGGTTCTTGCATTGTTGATAGAAAATCATATTTGTGACAAAGATTTTTTTTCCCTTATAAAAAATTAGAGAAGGTAATTCATCTGTTGATTTTCTTTAATTATCAAATAAAGTAGGAAGTGATTAGCAACCTCTGAGTAATCGAGATGCATTGATAATCGTTTTATCAGTTTAGAATCGATAATCGGTTTAGAACCGAATCGTTGACCTCTGAATCGGAATCGAATCGTGAGATGCCAAGAGATTCCCACCCCTAGTAAATAATATAAATATTAAACACAGTTACTGCTTTAAAGTGCTATTCAAAGCTCACTGCAGTTCACTTCATATGAATCTTCCCCAAAACATTATCATCAAAAGTGTATCAATCCATCCATCTTCACACCGCTTATTCTGCACACACGGTCGCGGGGGGGCTGGAGTCTATCCCAGCAAACCTTGGGCGAGAGACAGGGTACACCCTGGTCGCCAGCCAATCGCAGGGCTAACACAGAGACAAACAACCATTCACACCCACATTCACACCTACGTGCAATTTTAAAAAGTTTATAATATTTCCAATATCATTTTGGTAATGCCTTCAATAAGTGCCTTTTGATCATTTATCCCTAAATACTGTGTAACAATCTGATATGTTTGAATTTCACAAAGGGCCTATGGAGACTTTTGACTGTACTGTGTGTTGTTCTCCATCGGAGCTGCACTCTAACTGTATGCAAAACTGCAGCCTGTGTGCTGCAGCATGGAAATTAAATGGTAAAAAGGTAGCTTCAGTATTTCTTTGTACTAAAAACTGTCCCCGTCACCTGTCTAATTTCTAGCTTTTTATCCACTGACTCAAAATGCTAGTAATATTCACTGTGCATGTCCAATTTGAGACACTGCGAGATTCATGTTTTTCTACTTCACCAGTGCCTTCAACACCATCCAGCCGTGCTTCTGAGGGACAAGCAGGAGCCGACCTCGCAGCATGGACAGACCTGGTGTTACTGCACCACTGGTGCCCCTCGATCCATTCTGGCTTCATTTCTCTTCTCAATTGACACTCAAGACTTCCAATACAACTCTGCTAACTGACACCTGCAGAAATTCTCTAATGATCAATCATCAGCCTCGATTCTGCAGGTTTCCAGAACGGTTCCTTTTTCAGCGGCATGAACTGATCTCACTAAGGTAAGTAGTGGCATGGACCCCTCCTCATCCTTATGCAAATCCCATGTAAATGAGTATATTTTACAACTATGGGTTTTGCAGTAAAATGTTTTTTTTCTAACTTTATTGAGAAATTAGCAGAACACAGCGACTTACCGAAACCCTAAATAAAGTAATGTATCTCTTTCATCTTGCCAATTCCCTTCTTTGTGAGACTTGTTGTGTTCAAAATGAAGAAACGCCTGACGGACAAAGGACATCGTGGATCGAAAGGTTAAAATAAAAAGTATTTAATAAAAGAGAGGGTGTTGTGGTAAAAAGAACATCTCAGCTGAGGAGCCACTGGTCTTTGAAACCAACAGGCCACAGGTCAGTCCTTTGACCATCCCTATAGTGCCTGTCTGTTGCATCCACCAGCGGACTCGAGAACAATGGGTGCCTACATGTATTTATACCGATCCGTAAAGGTGTCAAAGTTAAGTGTCTACACCTCTGGGAGTGGTCTTCTGGTGTAACTCGGATTTCGAATGACCCTCAGTCAATATCAGTTGTGGTGCTATCAAGTATTGCATATCAGTTGTATCAGTATCATATGTATGCATTCCAGTTGGTTACATTACATTAAATTCAATCATAACTGTACATTAATATTATTCTATTGATTACGGTTTAAAAATTACAGTGGTTTTACAATATTGTCATTACTTTATTGATTACACAGTTTCAGAATCATGGCTGTATTCTGGTGTACACTCAATGTATTTTATTAATTTATGAACCGGGTCGTCAGTTTATTTCTAATATTCTTCAGACTTTAGAAATGAAGACATAGGGGTTTGCTCTTAGCCAGTCTGACTAATCAATGGTAACAACGCGTGTATGTAATGTATGTACTCCGATTCATTTCACTAAGCAGTCACTGGAAAAAGGGTTCTCAGTGTAATTGTTTAAATTAGAAAGAAAGTATCCTTTATTAATCCCTGTGAGGAATTTATTATTATTTATTCTCTCAGTCATCGGCTGGTTCCGTTCATGTGAACTGCCTGTCAGTCCTAGTGATTGTCATGTAGCATTCATGAACGTTATGGCCGTCTGATCCAATACTTAAACACTACATAAATATGATTGATGATTCATAGCAGTGTATTTCCCCTCTTGATCTCAGAAAACATGCGCTTTAGATACGACTAATACTACGACATTTTCCAACAGTGCTTGATTCTTCAGTGGCAGAGTCCTATTCCTGCCAGTAGGGGGTGTTATTAGACCAACTATGTGATAAGTTGTCACTCAAAATCAAGATCAGAAGTTTCGAATGTATGCGTACACGTAGTAATTTTAGTCCGGTTACAATATACACACACAGTTCATACAATAAACAAGAATATATAAAATAATTTAAAAAAATAATGAGTTGCTTGTACTGAAGAATATCACACAATTAACCTAGTTAGACTGCTAAACTGATCTCCATCTTAGCCTCCGAATTATATAGTTGAGATGACATGTGACACACAAGTTATGCGCATGCAAAACTAGTCCTATTCTGGGCGTCGTCTCATTGTTTGCACCTGTAGTGAGGCTGGTGTTGAAAGATTCATGAAAGATTGTTCCTTTATATTTTTAGGCAGTATTTTAGTCTGTGCATACGTAAGCATACCGGAGCTACATTATACCCAATTATTTTCTGTTTTAGCCATTACTTTCTTAATTTTTATTTAATTTTACCATTTGTTCGTTCAATCAGTCCTGCTGACTATGGACAAAAAGAGCGCCGGTATTTCACATTCATTTGAAAAATAGAAGTCAGATATGTATGCATATTTTAATTGAAAACGTGACTCAAACATTGCAAAAATGTACCTTTAACGCATTTAGTCACAGTGGTTTTTATCCCAAAAATTGCAACTACGAATAGTGAGTAAGGGGGGCATTGTGAAGAAAACGGCAAATTGGCCTCTTAACATTTAAAACTTCACATGTGTCTTTGCAAATTAATGTAGCAATATATGTTATATGTTAGCAATCATTGCCAAAAACCGACATGCACGAGACATAACACTTGTTTCAAAATGTACACTTTATTGTCAACTATGTACAAAAACAGAAGTCTTTATTTACAACACTGCTATGACCTTCTTGTCTCATCATCTTTGGTGTCACTGCTGACCTGATTATTTGAAAAGCGTCAAAAGGCATGAGGACTACACCCACAATATCATTACGCTGCTGTGGTGCTGCGTAGGGAGGTGTTCTACATTGGTAACCTCTATAGTTAAATGAAAAAGAATGGAATATCATCCATTTTTTACAGTTTGGACAACCAAAAGATCATCTGGTTCCTTCAATGTAACATTAACAGTTTTATGATCAGTGAACTTGAAATACTGAAACTGGTACTCGTCTTCCAGGTGATGAAAATCATTGCTGTCTACAAACAGTTCCACATGTCAATCCTTGACATTACACAAAGGATGTGGCTGCCAGATGATGACTCTGGTCATTGGCTAGTCCCACTCCACTGGTATTCTCAGAAATGTGAATACTGTATATAGTTGGGGTGACAGATAGATGATTATTTTGTAAGAAGAACTTGAGTCTTACAACATGAGTGTATTCAGCAAGTTTAAATTCACTGAACTATAAATTTTACCATGGTTTAGGTTTTCTCTTACATTGTCTTATCAACCCTCTGTCTTTGGGGTATTGCATTGTGGGTAATGTACCTGAGTCAATTGATAATAATACCAGAGAGCCACCATCTGTATACATCTCCTATGATCCATAACCACTATCTTTAACATGGGTTATAATTCAAAGTACTCAGCTATGAATGACATAATAACAACAATACAGCAGAGATAAGCACATATACTGTATAACCTTATTCACGCTCATGTAACTCTCCCAAAAAGTTCCTTTTTAAATGCTTGATGCATTCCATGCACGCTTTAAAAAGAAAACTGCATGCTGCATATCACGTTCCAGTGAGGGTGCAAACGGAATATAAATACATAAAAAATACAAGAGCAGACTTGAGACCTGGCATAAAGCCTATCAAATTAAAAGCATGAAACATATATGGTACAGAAACTGTAGATGAAGACATAAAGATAACAATGTAGTGTATTCAACTTAATCAGTATGAATAATTGTGGAAAGATATGTGGACAAAAGTGAAAAGATATCGCTTCCAAAAAATAGTAGTTAGTGGTTGAGTACGTCATGACTCTTCATTTGCTAAAGTGTCTTTTAATTTAAAATGTATACAATTTTTTCAGTCTATAAAAAATGAGTTTGAGTGCCAGTTAGAATACACTTCACATGGGTGTGGGAATCATTCATAGTACATCCAGTATTATGACTAACTAGGAGTCTTCGTGTAGAGGGCATCCATTAGACCAGTGGTCCCCAACCTTTTTTACCTCACGCACCGTTTTCATGTCAGACAATATTTCGCGGAACGGTCGAGAAGGTCTGACGGGTGGGGGGGGTATAGTAGTCGCGTGCGCGGTAAGAGGACAATTGTAAACGTGAAGAAAAACGCCTGGTGACGCGTGGGGAATATGTCAGAGGGACGAGCGCACATAATTAGGAGAAAATCCGGTCAATTTTCAAAATAAAACATTTTTCAGAAAAAAAATATATATAAGCTTTCTGTGGTGCGGCCCGGTACCAAACGGCCCACGGACCGGTACCGGTCCGCGGCCCGGTGGTTGGGGACCACTGCATTAGACAATCGATATGCCAGTGCTCGAAGGTTAGGAGATGTTGAGGTTATCTTAACGTTTGACGACAGTTTCAGTAGGGCATCAGTATCCAGCAGTATAGGGCCCAAAAAAAGGCTTCACAGAGCGCATAAAAAGAAACATTGAAACACGTCATTTGTCATACAAAAAGTGTAAAAGGGATTTACATTTTTGGAAGAAACGTAAAGGAAGAGCTAAACAGTAAAACCCCCTACCACACAGCCCAGGAGGAATTGTTCATTACAAAACATAACAGCGATCATTCACCAGGAACAAAGAAACACAAACTAGACTAACTTCAGGCTGTGGAAAGGATTGTGTCAGCAATCTAAGTGTATACTTTTTATCTTTCATGGCTGCCTTCAACTGCTTCTTCCCCACTAAGGCTACAGAAAAATTCAATATCATCTCAATCATGTAAGATTCGGAAAAAAAATGTACACACATCTCATCATCTTAAAGGATAATTCCAATCTATTACAACGTAGATTTTATTTCATTAGTTCTTGGCCATCAATCCTATCAAATATGTCAATCTTACTCACCAAAGTGCTTGAGGAGATATGGGAAAAGTCAGATGTGAAAAACCTTCCAGGTGAGATGATTACCCTAACACTGAACACACAAGCTGGTACTGGAGCTGGAAGCCGGCTAACCTGCTTACTAGTTAACACAATAGCATGTTAATTAAATATGCGTCATTAGGAAAAGTTTGAACAATCAGCATTTTGACCCTTTCTTGTGCTGGAAAAAGATCAGCATTCTCATATTTCACTGTTTCAAGTGATGGACCAAGAGACTGTCATTGCCGTCGCATGTGTATGCGGTACATATGTCTGCACCCACAATAAAGATGAATAAAATAAACTGAGGCACCGCCTGTCATGATGAAATGGTTATTTAATTTGTGTGCTAGTTTTTCAAGTAAACATGAGATCCAAAAATGTCAATCAGATGCCCTTTGTCGTTCATTTATGGGTATTCAATTTAGATGTATTGAGGCGAGGGGGGGGGTGCTGGCCTCAAAAACCCCCTTAGATTTTTGAGAAAGTGTTATCCAAAATATAGAATAATCTATCATACAAATTAGGTGGGTGAAGTTTGATTTGCAAACCTCACATTGCAACAAGCCCATGTGTGGCCACCACACCAAATCCACATTGTCTGATAAACCCAGAAGCTTGTATTACCACACCGTTATGATTGTTCTGACCAAAAGTCTAAACTGATCTGATTAAGATAACACTGAGGCAAATTTGTGATGTTGGGCTGTACTGCTAACATTTTGTTGAATTAAAAAAACTAAAACGAATGATGACATATAAGATGGATTTTGTAATAAACTTAAATTATACTTGAGATGTATTTTGACGTTCAAACTGAAGCTTGATTGGAGTTCCCCTTCCGGCCTTTTTGTGTACCTTTTCCATCCCATATATCACAGTCTGAGGGTATTTAAACAGTGTGATTATTCTCCTCCAGTTTCTTGCTCTCCTCCGATGTTCCCACCTCCTTCTCACCAGTTTTCCAGCTTCCTTGTCTGTGTTGTATACAGAATTGGAAACACATGAACCACCTATGCTACAGAATGACCTTCTCAGTCTGCCACCCATCACATGCTTCAACATAATGTGACAGACAATGGAAGACAGTTGTGTTTGTTTAGTCTATTGTGAGACTGTGGCACAATCGCTATAATTAGAGAACAAATTCAGTTCAAGTGTGTGTGTGTTTTATACCTTGCATTTTTCATGTAGAGCCAGTAGATCAATCCCAGGAAGGCAGCACCTATGAGGAGCCCTGCCAACACTCCCACTATGAGCTTAGCCTGGTCCTCTGAATCCTCTGGAGACCCTAACAATAGACAGCAGTACTCTTCAGCTGTGGGACTAACACACCCAAAGTCACACAGAAACACTTCTACAGGAAGTTCTGAAAGTCATGAGAAGAGAGAAACCAAAATCGAGACGCGTCCTTAGCAGATCATTCACCGCAACACTTGTGTTTATAGTTTGACCAAGTGTTTGTTTACATTCTTTGAATCATGAGCAGCACATGATGAAATGTTGGATATTTTGGAGCTGGTGGTGTGTTCCTTTTATAAGGAAGAAGAAGTTCATCAGTCTCTCTTTATGTCACTGATGTTCTGCTCCATCACATCTAGTAAAGACTAGTGAGTAAATGCTTCAGTCTTACCCTGCACCACTTTCTCACTGGGTTCGATACAGCTGTGCTATTGAAGAGTATTTTGGAAATATCTTATATCTCCTGCATATGCATAATAGGATTTCACATTGGGTTATGAAATATAATAATCTTATGAGCAGTCTAGAACACAAAATATCATAGATATTTCCAGATCTGTTTAGAAATAACACACACATGGACTCATCGGACTGAACATGTGGTTCTCGGTGACCCCGGAGGGTCAACAAAGGTCATATTGAGACTGAACCGCCTTATGCTTTCTGTAGGGGTGACACCATATAACGATTTGTGTTACACTTGCGCGCACACACAGGTGAGCACAACCCCACCAGCGGACAGAAAGCGTGCGTCAGAAAATGGTGGTGTCTGTCCATCCGCAACCCTTCCAAAAAGCTCTTAACCTAGGGGAAACACGCAGTCAGTTAATTATCAAATACTCATAATCTGTGTAATCTGGTGCTAATTTTGCAAGTGTTGATTTGTTCAAAGGGGGCCACATTATGCTCTTTTACAACAAGTTGACGTGGTTCTTTGCGGGTGAAATGTCTAAAACATGGGTGCCATGTCGGTCGATTGCTAAAGCAATGCCGGACGATCGCCTGCTGTTTAAAAAAAATCACGTATAAATCAAGTTATCACGCATGCACGGAAAACTTAGTAGTGCTAATTAGCGATCTTTACTTACTAACACATTTCATTAAATAGCAACCCTGCCTGACACCAATCAGTGAAAGTTATTGACCAAGAATGTGTGGACTGGTTGTGACTGTTCCCTCGCTTCTGACGGATGAGAGGCTCGTTGGTTTCTTATATCGATTCGTTTTGCGCTTATGGTATGCAGTGTTCTTGTTCTGTTTGATTACCACTGCTACTCATTACTATTATTTATTTAGTAGTCGGGCGGACGAGCCGGCCGATAGTGGGTTGTTGAAAAGTAACTTGCGAGCCAAAAAACTGTATGCTCCCCTCGTCTAAAACATTCTTTTGTCAAAACACCTCAAAGACCATAATCAACAGCACCCTTTCAGCCTGTCTCAAACAGCTCCGCTCAAAAAGACACGTTTGAGGTCTTAATGCTAATGAGCCCGCTAACCCCTCCCTCCTTGCCCTCTCGCTTCTTTCCCCACCACACTACAACGTGGTTTGCATGGCATGCCTCTCTTGTGTCATTATGAAATGTAAACAACAAATGATTAAAAATAAATCAATAAATATTTGTCGACTAAACTGTGATAGAAATGTAATTAATGCATTATTGATTCAAATGATTCCATTTCTTTTTGTAGTCAATATCGGTTAATTCATTATTAATTAATTTTCCTGTTCAGATACGGAGCATATTCGGTGAGGGGGGGCGGGAAGCTGTAAAACTATGGGGACACACTTTAATACATTTCGTTGTTGTGCCTTCTAAGCCTGGGATGAGATGTAGAGAATTGTGCGGAACTGTGTTGGGTGGATGTGGCGGAGGGCGAGGGGACGTGATGGGGTGAGGGCCAAGGCAATGTAAGTGAGACTCCCACTTGGTCTGCTAATGTTGGCGGCCCCCTCAACTGCGATATTATTTTCATAATATGTCTTCTTTTAAGAACAATAAGATGAGAGGAGTGTACATGTAAAGAGATGTGGCTAGGTCTATACATACAAGAGAGAGAGAAGTGAGTGTTGAATGCAATCATGTATCAACATGCAGGGCGAGAGTATGTTGGATGAATAGTTGGAGAAACCACCAGGAGAACCGTTTTTAGTTAATACTGGTGGATCTGAAAAGAGTGGCTTTTTTTTTCAACTGATCCTCCTTAAAAAGTCTAGAAAGTAAAAGATAAGGACAAAAGAAAACAAATTTCTTACCTTTTTCCTCCTTTTGCTCCTTAAAAACTGAAATAAAAAAAATAAAAATTAGAACTTTAAAAAAATAAAAAGGCAAATAAAACATGTAAATGCTTTTTGTTTAAAAACCCAAACAAAATTGTGCATTGTCATTCCCTGAATGTCTTGTGCGTTCCCGGTCTGCGTTTTTGCCCCTTGTTAGAAAGCCCTTGCCTACGTGCTCGGTTCCCCGCGACCTGCAGCCGGCGCCCCCGAGGCCGGTTACCCGCGACCTGCAGCCGGCACCTCAGAGCACGGTTGCCCGCGACCTGCAGCCGGTGCCCCCGAGGCCGGTTCCCCGCGACCTGCAGCCGGCGCCCACGAGGCCGGTTACCCGCGACCTGCAGCCGGCACCTCAGAGCACGGTTGCCCGTGACCTGCAGCAGGCTTCTGTCCGCCCACCGGGCCGACCCCCGGAGGTTTTTTGTTGTTAATTATGTTTCCTGTTGCGATTCCAGGAGCTCTTTCACCAGAGATGATCTCTTCAACATCCAGACAAAGGGTGGAGGAATCTGCTTCTTCTTTAACACCAGTTGGTACAACGACGTAACAGTGATCTACAGTGTTCTCCTGATCTGGAAACTTTTTTCATCAACTGTAAACCATTTTATTCCCTCCGTGAGTTCGCTTCATTCATCCTGGTCGGTGTTTACATGCCGCCGGCTGGGACAAGGTGCACGAGGCACAGTGGACACTCGCCGACCAGATACGGCGCGTGGAGCGGACCAACCCGGACTCCTTACTTATTGTCCTCGGGGACTTTAACAAAGGTAATCTCACCCATGAACTTCCTAAGTACAGACAGTTTATTAAATGCCCCACCAGAGAGGAGAACACGCTGGATCACTGTTACTGTGACAGTATGCAAATGCAGTTCAACAGGAACCACCTGTTCCCCATTTGTTATGACTGGGGTCATCTGTGTAGTGTTTGTGGGTTTCTTTTGGTGTCTTTCTGGTTTCTTTATTCAAACAGGGATGTGCCACCACCAGGCGCGGATTGGTGGACGGTCTCCCACCCGTCCTGTGATTGGCTGCAGCCGGCATATAATGGAAGCCAAGATGGCGTCCGAGGCAGAGCAGACCAGAGCAGGGGAGAACAGCAGCAGAGCACAACCCTCGTCCTCCTCCTCTTCCAACCAGCCACTTGTAGCATACCGTGAAGCTGAATAAGTATTCTGTTTTTCTTTTGAGTTGGTTTTCTCCTGTTTTAAAGTAGTTAGGTAGGTAAGACTGATGTCATTATTTTTCTCCTTTGTTTTGGTAGGTCAGCGTCTTATTTTCTAGCTAGGTTCGTTTTTTGGTTTGTTTGTTATATTGGGGATGGGCAACGGCGAAGCCGTGGTTTGTCTTTGCCTCAACATACTGGGTTTTTCTCAACCTAGAGCTTTTTTTCAATAAATATCCCCTATACAAACACGTCCCTGTGCTCCAATGGGGCTCCCCGAGGGTTCTAAGCAGGAGCCGCCTTCATCTTAATGCTCTTCGACTATATAATTCGAGCGCATTTTGTATTAAACGCCTTCTTTCATGTTGTTGTTAAACTGCCTGAAATAGGTCTCTGCACGTTAAACTGCAGGACAGAATACTCTTGTTGCAAATATACTTTGCCATATTGCTTTGAGTAAAGTCTCCAGTCTAGTCCTTGTTTTGCTCGCACAACACGTGCTTGGACTGCACAGACTGGGATGGTTTCAGGACTGCTACTAACAGTCTGAGTTCACAGAGGCTGTAACTTATTACATCGGCTTCTGTGAGGACAGCTGTGTACCATCATGGACCAGGGTGAGTTTCAACACGACAAACCCTGGTTCACAATGGAACTCAAACTATGCTTGCAGAAGGATCCGCCATTTAGGAGTGGGGACAAAGACTTGTACACACAGTCAAAATACAAGTTTAGCCAGGTGGTGAGAGATGCTAAACGTCTGTACTCTGAGAACAGTTCTCAGCAAGTGACTCTGCTTCGGTTTGGAGAGGCCTCAAACACCTCACTAACTACAAGCCCAAAACCCCCCACTCCATGAATGACTTCCGCCTGTCAGACGAGCTGAATGAGTTCTACAGCAGATTTGACAATGTCCTGATGGTCCTCCACCAACCTCCCCCAGCCCTTCAGGGGCTCACGCCTCTGTATCACCTTCCCCTCCCCTCTGTTGAAGTCTTTTGAACGGCTAGTCCTGTCCCACCTGAAGACCCTCACTGACCCCCTCCTGGACCCCCTGCAGTTCGCCTACAGAGCCAACAGGTCTGTGGACGATGCTGTCAACATCGCAGAGGTTGTTCTTTCTGAAGCAGCTGAAGAAATTCAACCTGCCAAAGACGATGATGGTGCACTCTTACACGGCCATCATCGAGTCCATCCTCTGCTCCTCCATCACCGTCTGGTACGCTGCAGCAACAGCCAAGTACAAGGGCAGGCTGCAGTGTGTCATCCGCTCTGCAGAGAGGGTGATCGGCTGCAATCTGCCATCCCTGCAGGTCTTGTTCGCTTCAAGGACCCTGAAGCGAGCTAAAAGATCATAGCCGACGCCTCTCACCCCGGACAAAAACAGTTTGTGCCCCTCCCATCTGGCAGGAGGCTGAGGTCCATCAGGACTAAGACCTCCCGCCACACAAACAGTTTCTTCCCTTCAGCAGTCGGGCTCATCAACAGAGCCCCGTCCCCCATCGATTGACTTTGGCATTCCACCGGTCACTTTCTTTCACACTGCACACGTCACTTACACTTGTCACTTCCTGTTCGCTGGTGCACGTTATTTAAAAATTACATTACATGTCATTTAGCTGACGCTTTTATCCAAAGCGACTTACATTACATTATTAGCCATTAACATGGCTTTTTTTTAACATTTTGCCCAGGGAGCAATTAGGGGTTAGGTGTCTTGCTCAAGGACACTTCAACTTGCGACATGGGGCAGCCAGGACTCCAAGCACCAACCTTGCGGTTCCCAGTGCACCCTCTCTACCCCTGTGCCACGACAACCCTGTTGATTAAAAGTTACTTTAACTTTTATTCCTTTATTTTAAACTAACCCATAGCCTTATACTACTAACTATTTATTTTATTCCTCGTGCACTGTTGTCTTGTCGTCCATTGTGGTACTGTCTGCTGTTACGCACCAACCGCCAAGTCAAATTCCTTGTATGTCTGACATATTATGGCAATAAATGTTTCCTGATTCCCTGAATATCTTGTGAGTTCCTGGTCCCCGTCCGCTTTTTTGCCCCTTGGCATTTTTGATTTTGACTATTAAAGTGTTTTGTTGTCAAGTCTGCGTTTGGGTCCTGCCTCTGCCTACCCCATTCCCGACAACACTGCCACCATTAAAATGTTCCATGTAAGCAAGTTAGACAGATAACTGATGTTAATAATACGAGTAGTAATATGAACATGAAATGCAGAAAATAGATCCAGGGTTCTCATAAAAGTCTCATCATCTTCATGAGAGTAGAGCAGCAAACAAAGAAAGCTACGTTTTAGCCCCTTTTACTTTAAACCCCTTCTCCCAAGTCAGACCAATCAGCATTATATTGGCCTGGGTTGAGAAAATTGTTTAACGCAGATCATGTAAGTAACCGACTTGGAAATGTTTAACTAGTTAGATGTTGTGAACTTTCAATGATTTGTTAAACCTGCTGGAAAACTACAAAGGTTACATTGAGGTTGCTGAAAACTATGTATTAAGATGTGCTTCTTTGTAGTCCAGATTTAGAAAATTGTAGTTTGTCCACTGCAGACTGACCTCACTAACATGCATCTCCCATCGCATCATAACTAACATAACGTAGCTTAATGAGTTGTGACTGGCAGTCAGTCACACAATAGAAGCAGTTTGTTTGTTGCAGAAAAATCACTGGCTGATAAAAGCTGTCACACTCCAGCACATTTCTGGAATCTCATGCTTTAAATTACAAGCCTCGCACAGAGAGTTTAGCTTTGTTTTAATTTAACCTCTTTATCTTTTTTCAAGGAATGCTTCCTAATTAACCTGCTTAGCCCAAAGCATCAACTCAAGCACAAGAAGGTCGTAACACAGCAATGCATGTGAAACTACATGATTTGTATCCACTACTAAACAAACAGGGAACACGCGCAAACCTACCGGAGGAAACGTTGATGGTATTGACATCTTCTCCAAGCTTGTTGCTGACGCTGCAGGTGACGGTCAGATTCACATTGGGGATCACAGAGATTTTATGGGTGGCCTTGCCGTTGATGTAGGAGCGCTTCTCCTGGAAGCAGAGCAAAAACCACACGCAGCAAAGTCTTTAGTTATGCACACATTATCAATTCCTCCATTCGACATATTACGTATACAGTACACAGACCAGAGTCCTGGACTTCTGTTGCAGCGAATGCCAAGCACTACCTTGCCAACAAACCTGCATCCGACAGACATGTTGCCACGTTGTTAGAGCATTACCTGTTCAGGATGGAGCCTGACCAGAATATCTACATGATTACGTTTTTCTTTTGAGTGAATCACGATCTCACGCTAAAACCACACGGTGAGGAGAGGTTGTCTCAAGACTGAAGAATTTAAACTGATGCATTATGGCTGCAGCTGTTTCCTGTCAGAGAGAGCTCTTCAGTTACCATACATTCGCACTACCACGCATCCTCAAAAACACTGTCCAGATGGCTGTCAGGATGGAAAAGAGGGAAAACCCTAACAGGAGCCCTCTTGAGCAACGAGACTGATGTGGGCACAGGAGAGGTTTGGGGGCTGTTTGTTTTCCATGTGTTTATATGTCTGTGGTCATATCACACAGCATCACTGCAATAGAAATTGTCATGAAGTCACGATACTTTACAGGTGTGTAGTTGAGATCAAAATTCTCGGTCTGTAATTAAGGGGGCTACAAATGGGGACGGGACTATTGATTTGGTGAGGATGCTGGTGTGATGCTATAACAAGATGCTGCTGCTCAAGATACTAAACACACACTTACATTTGTGCTATTGACGCTCCATTGGAAGTTGGGTTCGGGTACTCCCTCAGCCTCGCATGTCAAAACCTTGTAATTGTCGCCGTCAGCTCTGTGTTCGGTAAGACTAGTGATCACAGGCTTTCCTGGTGAAAACATTCAACAAAATGTTATGACCCCAGCCTTCTTCAGAAAGAAAATATCTGAGAACAGGAAAAAGAAGATGTGAGTATGACACACACACAGTTTCACTTACCTTCTACAATCAGTTCAAAGCTCTGACGTTTTTCGAGGCCAGTCATGGAAACTTCACATACGTAGAGTCCTGCATCGCCATAGGTCAAATTACTGAACACTGGCTCCTTCAGTGCCTTTCCATTCTGAAAACAAAACAAAATACGTCCAACTCTAATTTAGTCACGGTCACTGTGATGTATTTTATGCTATGTGTATAAAACAGTATTCAAAGAAATAAGTTGTAATTACCTGCCTTCATTTTCTCTTAAAAGTTCTCTATGAATCCTTATTTCAGATTTCACATATTGGTTTGCCTGAGAATATGACCACCTTTCCTTTGTTTCTAAAGTGACATTTTGACTATGCAAGTCTATGTACACAGCTCCTGTGTACAGTTTGACTGTAAACATGTTAAAACTGAAATTCGATATCCAGATCTAATGCATATGACTATTCTACATGTAGCCGAGTAAGCTGAGTTACCTAATTACTGGAATGATGGGGTGTTTGGGTTTGTTACAGTAGCTATCAAAATAACAAAAGGAACTCTACAAGTATGAGTCTTAAAATGAGTGTGATATGTCTACTTTAAACTTAATTACTTTCTGTTAAATTACTGTACCAAGTTAACAGAATTTGCTTCTTTCCTGAACTCTTTGTGCTTTCCCACCCCACAGGTTTTCTGTGGATGGTGGTTATAGTGATGGTTACATCTGGTGGTGGTTACATATCTGATGGTGGTTGTCCCAGCAGTGGTCCTGCCTTATATCTGGCTTACTACTCTCACTATTTTCAATTTGCTTCTTTCCTGAACTCTTTGTCCTTTCCTTCCTCACAGGTTTCTGTGGATGGTGGTTATATCTGGTACTGCCGTGCACCTGGCTTACTACTCTCAATATTTGAATAATTTCTGTTGTAGGAAGGTAGAGTGGATTTTTTACTTTGTTCCTTCTGCACACATGACATCCATTGCAGTTTGTCCAGAGGGATCCCTCCTCTGCCGTTCTCCCTAAGGTTTCTTTTTCTCCCCATCGAAGGGTTTTTCATTTTTTTTGGGGAGCTTGGTGGAGATTTCAGGACAAGGGATGTCCCATGTGTACAGACAAATTTGTAATTTGTGATTTTGGGCTATACAAAATAAAATAAATAGAAATTAGTATAGTTATTGTATATAACTTCCTAGGAACAGACTCTGGCTTTAACACGCAGGGCTACACACCCCCCCTTCTTGAATATTTGATGTCCTCATCAAACTAAAATGTTTAGATCGCTTTAATCTGTGGGTGCCAACTACTTGGATATTAAACTAAAACAATCCCGTAATGCCATAGACTGGCAACAGAGGATTTGGCATGGGTGCCGTCCTGAAGATCGGAATGACATCCCACAAACACACAGTGGCTTAGGCCAGTCACGGGGTTGGTTGGAAATTGTTCCCAACTCATCATAACCCAGTCTAATCACAGGTTTTCAGGTTCTTCAGCTAATTTCCCCCCCCCCCCCCCCTTTCTGGATCTTCGTCTGCTTCCGGGTTAGTGGGGAGAGGCAAATAAACGGTCTATTTTATCAGCGTTTATATCGGCAATTTCCAGGTTTCTGGCTGGTGTGGCAGCTTGGACTTCATCTGGTACTCTGGTACCTTGCATTCTAATGAAAAGCTTTGGATGTGACAAAATATCTCTTCACTCTCCACATAATCGAACTTTGAGGAAAGTGGACTATCTTCACCAACAATCTGTGGTGCGCTTTGATCCTGTCCCCTTGTCACAGGTCTGTGTGGCAGCTTTGAATCATCCTTCTGTGCAGGTTATCTCACTAAATAGCAAATAAGTAACAAATGATTACGGTGCCATGTTTTCACAATTCCTGTTCCAAATTCAGATTTCACTTGCTGGACTGGATAGTTTGGCTTCTTTCCAACAAATATGTAAGGCATGGAGCTCCATTTATCTTTCAGCTTGTGCTTTTGGGTAAAACCAACGTTCAGCTTCCATGGCAAGATGGTCGGCTTTGTGGAGATCTGTTTTGTGCTCAATAACATATTGCGGGTATGGCAGACTCCTCAATCCCTCCAAAGTAAATAGCCACAAGTGTGCAAGTTTAACTTCCTAACATCCGTCAACAACAATCAATCACTTAAAATTATGAATGATGAATGACAAGGTAGTGCAAATTGTAGATATCTTTGTGTACAACCATCCAGCTCACCATTTCATAAAGGAATTTAAATTGAAGTTGAATTGTCACTTCCCTCGAACTCTGGCAGCATTACCTTTGTCCACGACACTTTAGTGTCAGCCGAGGCCCTCTTCTCCATCATCACGGACAAGGTGTCCCCTTTGGTCTTAACAACCCTCCCAGTGGGGGTCAGACTTAGGTCCATGTCTGAGGAAAGGAAACAAGAAGAGGATGCTTGTGTTGAGTGCTAGTAGTTGGCTGCCTCTCATTGCAGGCTAATGTCCCAAAGCTGATTAGGACCAAATTAACTTCTGAGGTCGAACTTCTGGAGTTTTTTTTTTACAAAAATCCACTATAAAGGCATTAGATCACACCATTCAGATCTGTAGATGTGGATTAATCCGCTTCTGAAAATAGTACTTAAACCTCTTTAGAACCAAGCCATTTTTTAGGCCCCTGCTCGCAAATTGCATACCCATGATAAAAAGGAATATACTCTCGGCGTCATAATAAAGGGAACACCTTTGAGGTTGTATCCAGATGTATAAATATAAATATGTATGTTGCAGGTTAGGACAAAATGAAGATGACACACTGCAGAAATAAAAAGGTTTCAGGTTTGCCTTAAATAAAAATCACTTTCAGGATGATTATCCCTCTAGAATTATAGTATTATGGCTCCAAACCTCTACCAGATCATAGCACAATATGTTAACATTCTCTCTGCAAAGGACAAGTTTGATGAAGTGAAGTACACATTTTTAGAAATTGTTTTAGTAGACAGTTTAGGCAAGATCTACAGAATTTTGGTTTTTGGATCATTTTGTGCCAAACTGTGCCATTTGCATTTTTCCGGTGTAACCCAACTATTCATTTCACTTGTATATCCCTGATAGTGGTCAATGCATCTCATATATAGGTTTATTTCTTTTTTTTTTCAAATGAACCCAGACTTATTGTATTGTACCATTAAAAAATTACTAAAAAATCCAAGACATAATGACTTCATGACTTGACTTGTCATTTGGCAGGGTGATTTCTGGGTGAAGAATTGGCCGAATAGCGCGATTGACACCTTGTTGGAATGGTTAGAGCCTGTAGAATTGAGCCATTTCCATGACATTAACAGCCAACCAGGATCAGCAGAGCATCTTCCTGGAGAAGGGTCAGGTTGGCTAACAATGGGCTGACGTGTACTCTTTGAATTTTCCACCTAAGAAAAAAAGCTCCTAGAAGCTACTTTTCTTAGCAACCTGCTACAGAAAGGGACATTTTACAACTACCTTTTGGCAAAAAGGATTTTATGTTCTTTGGCTCTGGTACGCTGAGGGTTTACTGGATAGGGGTTTGCTGCATATCTATTGGATCCGCCGACTTTGTTCTTTCTGTAGTGATATTGTTTATTTGTTTAGCTTGTATATACTTGTAGCCCCGGTTCTGCTGTTTAATTTGACGTGCAACATTAACATAGTCTTTCATCTGTAGTTTAAGGTTAAGACGCTGTTAACTTTGAACATTCCTCAGAGCCCCACAGGCTCAAATTTTGGTCTAAGAGGATGTGAGCAACATTTGCAATAAAACTATGGTGACCTGATTTTATAGCATGGATTGACTCCAGCCCCCCCGCGACCCTGTATGAAGGATAAGCAGCTTTGAAGATGGATAGATGGATGGATGGAATCAGCATTTTTAAACAGAATTTTACGAAATCATTTTTTTAAGATGGAACCCTACATTGAGAACCAATCTGCTTGGAGCTGACAATCACAAGATGGAGAAGGGAGATCTCATTGTATTAAGAGAATAACACAAATATAAAATTATGCCCAACATGGTCCAATGTTTTAAGTATATGTTTTCCACACAACATCTTTAAAATTGTGGTAGTGTGGTGCATTAGGTGTTTGATGCATAAACTTTCTAAATAAGATTCACATCAGTCTTGTGAATAATTACTATCCAACCAATTATGCTAAAAATAATTAAGCCAACATCCATATTACTCAACCTGTATCGTCTAAGTGCTTTCCTTCTTTGTATAGCTGTAGATGAAGCTAATTTTATACTATACTTATTATACTTACTATACATATAATATATGGGTGTATACAAAAAGAAGCATGTGTTTGAATGCAGAACGTTTTTGGAAAAAAACATGTGTTTAACACATAGGTCAATGTTTAGCTGCTAGCTGCCTGGACATTCATGTTGGTGCCAGTCAACTGAACAGAGCAACAGCCAAACTTATTTTTCTTCTACACCCAGTCTCAAAACATGCCTAGGTTAGAGAGCTACTTTGTTCTTTCTTCATTCACCAACCAAATTAGAAGTGGGATGCTTCTTTAAGGTGTAATATGGGACCAGGGAAGAAGGGAGTAATTACTCATGGGAGAGCTTGTGTATGGTTGGATGGAAAAACACTTTTGCTCACTTCTCCTTTCAGCCAGGCACCTACTGATCTGCCTCCCTGCCAGGCTCTGCTCACAAAGTTTAAATTTGATTAACATTACGCTGCTCCCATGACTCTATTTAGAGTGAATAGGAGTGCCTTGTTATTTATAGGAAGGAAATACATTTCAATCAAAGTGGGGCAACTATGGCTCGGTGGCTAGAGTGAGTTGTTTTATCAAATGTCATGTATGTATGAATTTGATTTGATTGTTAGAGTGGAGGGAATTATTGAATGAGCAGCTGTGGATTCAGGCAAAGGCATTACATTACAGTACAGGTCATTTGGCTGACACTTTTATCCAAAGCGACTTACATTGCATTTTTAACCCATGGCCATTTACATTTTTGCCCGGGGAGCAATTAGGGGTTAGGTGCCTTGCTCAGGGACACTTCGACATGGGACATGGAGCAGCCGGGCTCGAACCACCAACCTTGCGGTTCCCAGGTTCTGTACCCTGCGCCAGACCCCACAAAGACAAAGTTAGTATGACTGTTTGGTTACTAATTAATTGAGGTACAACATCCTAACCGCAAGTACTCACAGCTAACAACGATGCTTTGTGATGCCTCCATTTTCTCGTTGTCAGTCAGGGAGCATTTATATACACCCCCTGCCTCTCTGCTGATGGCGGCCAAAGTGTAGGTGTCTGAATTTTTCACCAGCATTTTCTGGTCCTGGCGGAGAGAGAAGAGCAGGAGGAGGCACTGTTAGCTTCTGTCATTCTCCTATAACATGATGAAGACAGGAGACATTTCTTGGAGAGATCCACTTAATACATTAATATGTATAGCAAACGTCAGATCCATCAGGCATGCAGGGCTTTTTAAAACAACAACAAACAACTTTAGCAGGTACAAAATGAGATATTAAACCATCATCACCTATTTTAATTTACTTTTAGGTTGACGCTTGACCTCTGACTGACCTTGATGTGGAAGTAAAAGGAGCTGGGTGGAGGGTTGCCATCACCGTGACACTTCAGCGTTACGTTAACTCCTTCTACAATGGGCCCCTTGGACAAAATTTGAAGGCTCACCTTCTCCGATGGATCTGAGGAATTCAGAGAGTTATTCAGGGAAAAGGGAAGCATGTAAAGCTTCAAAGATATTTAAAATAATCTCTTCCACACTGAATCAATTCAACCTTCAAGCAGCACAGATATATAAAACTATGAATCTTAAATTTGTATAGGGTACATCTTTTACATGGGGCGGCACGGTGGTGTCCTGGGTTCGACTTTCGAACTATGTGGAGTCTGCATGTACTCCCTGTGTCTGTGTTCTCTCTGGGTACACGCGCTCTTCCCACAGTCCAAAGATGTGCTCTGGGGATTAGGTTAATAAGTGACTCTAAATTGCCTGTGTTTGAATGGTTGTTTGTCTCTGTGTTAACCCTGCGATTGGCTGGCGACCAGTCCAGGGTGTACCCTGTCACTCGCCTGAAGTTAGCTGGGATTCAGCCCCCCTGTGACCCTGTATGAAGGATAAGTGGTTTGAAGATGACTTTTACACAGTTCATTCTGTAAAGGATCCCTCTACCGCAAGTTTCTTCGTTTGTTCATTTTTTGGGGTGGGTATTTTTCCTGTGCCGATGTGAGGATGTCAGATGTGTATAGACCGTAAAGCCCTCAAATCTGTAATTTTCAGTTAATAAAAACAAATTGTAATGAATTGATCTGAGCCACTCAATCCGCTCTTCAAAAGTTTAGGGATGTGTGTCCCTTTTATAAAGCACTGGATTCTTACTGAATGCATTTGAGTCAGCTGGTCATTACGCTGTCTAACACCGCACAGACAACGCATGAATGTTTTATCAAACATTAACAAACTGTGGCTACACAAAAGGTTTCTGGAAAGAGTCTATTTCGGAGCTTAGATTTGTCTTTACAATTTCTATGATCAAATATGTATTACTCACAGGGGTTAGTTGTATTCTCATGCCTCGGTTTATTAGAATATCTATTCTTGAGTTATAGCAAAGTCAAAGTGACTTTGAACTAAAATCAGTTCATCCTTGACTCCAGATGGATGTTTGTGACATATTTGATGAAATTACCTTTGGTGAGGGTGGTACTGATGGACAGACGACCCAAAATACTATTTAAAATGATGATGCTTCCTTTGCCAGTGTTGAGGCGTCACAAAAGTAATTTTAATGGTGCTACTGCTCGAAGGAGGATTCATACTGCAACTTAATTCATGCTTCCAGATTCCTGACTGATTATCTTCTCTATGAAACTGATTCTGGTTATCAGAGCCGTTTTCAGCGTTAAAACAAGAATGTCACCAGTCACACCAATTCCCAAATCATCTGGGTGTCTTCAATCAGCTCAATCTCCAATTCAATCGGCTACAGCCTAGCCTCTTCTGCTAGCTGTAGCCTGGCCCTCTTCACCCTACCACAGCCTCATGTGGTAGGGCCTCATCAACTTTCTACAGCCTGACCTATTGGTTATTAGTTTGGACATGTTTCATCCACTAAAACCTTCCTGGCTTTTTTGGTTCACAATCATTTCTATTTTCTGGATCATATCAGCTCATACAACCTGCCTTTCCAGGAGACTGTTGGGGTTTTAAGTAGAAGTGAATGTCTAGTCATAGGATTTGTAGTACGTGTAGTGATGTTTAGTGATAGAATTGTAGTTTGTGTGATGTTAGATTAGTTATTACATTAACATGTTAGATGAAGTGAATACAATGTGAATCAAACACAGTTTATAGTCTTTTAAATCGTATAAACACTCTACACATTTACATTCTGTTACAATGTGATGTTAAAACCTGGGGACGGATGCCAATTGCCGTTCTTTATGGATTTCTTCCAATTTTATCCCCAAAGAGGGTTTTTTGGGAGTTTTTTCTCCTGTCAGGTAATAAATGAACAACTTAATGCGAGGCAGCCGACAGAGGCAAATGTCTTGAGAATTGAACCACATGAACTGTCTTAAATCTTATGATGAAGGGTGATGAACGGGGATCATTAATGATGGGTTGTTGTAATTAAAGTGTACTAGTTATAAGATGAAGACTTAAACGATGTATGCTTTGGTAATTTCACTCATTGGGGCATAAAGCCAACTGTATCTACATTGAGTGCATTGGAATGTGAGGGACAGATAGTACAGAGAGGTTTCAGGTTACAGCTGCAGCTTCACACCTCGACGTGGAAGGGACAATGGAGGAGGTGACCCTTTGGAGAAGAGGCCAATGACATTCAAATGCACCAAGGAAGACACACCTCAAGAGTTTTCAAAGGACCATGGCGGGGGAAAGGACTGGCAGAGTCTTCCCTGCAGCCGTTCTGATAAGACACTTTGGACTTGCTCAGAGGATTCTCTATTTCGCGAAATATTCCACTGTTCGCTTAGTATTTCACTTTGTAATTGTAATCCCTATTACGTTGTTTAGTCATTAAATACTTTTTGATTTTTGAATTTAAACGAATTGACTCATTCGTATCCTCGTTTCCGGCCGGGACGAGAACAAAGGAGTGAGGCCTCCCTCGAGAGCTTTCCGAAACCCTTAACAAGACTGCCATCATTTCTAGCGCTGTTGGTACATTGGACTTTAGTTTATCAACCAGGGACGTCTCATCCTTCTGGTTTACAAAGACTTTTGGACTTCCTACTTGGTGTGTAACAAAGCGTATTCCTTTGTACTCTTACATGTTATTGCAGCAGTTTCACGGCTCCTCCTCTTTCATTTTGACCAAACCGTCAATGAAAGATAACCATATGCAACATTTTAGCACTGTCAAACGTGTGTTAATCATTCTCATGTTCTTCATCTCTGCAAATGTTGACCCAAACCCAGGGCCCGCTATCCATGGTCCCACCATCTCTAATCTGTCGTTCAATGATTTTTGTGATCGTAAATCACTGGGCTTTCTACATGTCAATATCTTTAGTTTGTTGCCAAACATTCAAAATCTTGGGTGCACACTGCAAACCCTGATGTTTTGGCTCTTCTCTGAATCATGGCTTAAGAAAGGTGTTTCGGATCTAGAAATCAGAATACCGGGTTACAACATCTTTCGTCGTGGCTATATTTGTAAAAGACCATTTGCAATGTTTTGTTATGCTGTCTAAATCAGTTCCCACGCAATTTGGACTGTTACTGTTAACAGTCCAAATTCCCCTCTGCTCCAGCATGCACATTAAGAGCCCTCGGTGAACTGTTGGCCCCTCATATTTCTTCTGAGTTCTTCTGGGTGACCTAAACTGAGTATGATCAACCCCCCTGATTTAGCTACACAGCAATATAATGCTTTAAACCTCTTTCAACCAGACATCATTTGAAATCTCTGTCATCTACCACCTAATCGATATTATTCTCACTAACACTCCATCAAACTACCGATGTGGAGTCTTGAGTTAAGATTTGAGTGACCACTGTGCCAATACATGTGTTCGCTCCGGCCTCTCTGTCAAACATCCACCGGTGATTGTGACCAAGTGTTCACTGAAACACTTAATCAGGCCTTCCTTCAAGATGTTGCAGCTGCATCCTGGGAAAGAATAAATTTCATCCCTTCAGTTGAAGATGCCTGGTCTTATTTCAAAATCACCTTTAGCCTAATCATTGAGAAATTGAAACGATTCCGGATGAACAATTGCTACATTCCCTGGTTTAGTCATGATTTGGCTGCCCTGATCCACCTAAAAAACATCTTATGGTGGAGAGCGTGGTCTTCTCAGGCTGTTGCTGACTGCCTGGCCTTCAGACAATGCAGGGAACAAAACAACCCATGCGATCAGGAAAGCTAAAATCAGTGAGTCATTCTCAGCCAGTGGATCTAACGCCATAAATTTTGGATGACATTGTTGTTACTGACAACGCATGGCCACACATTTAAACCAATATCTCGTGAAATCATCTAATTTCTTTGGTGCAGCTGCCCTTGAAATAGATTCATCTAACACACCTACTTCTTAAAACAGGATTAACTGCTTCTCTTCCTGGGTGAACTCATTAAGTTAGATTCAAACAAGTCAGCTGGAACTGATCGGCTCGACCCTGTGTTTTTAAAATCAGCCGCTCATATTATTGCTTCCCTCATCATCCCTCACCTCATCATACCCAGCCCTCCCAAGATCTACAGTGCTGATGGCTGGAGTTTGTCAGCTCCTACCTTGGCTTGGATACCTTGGCTTCTGGTTGGACTCATCTCTCTCATTTAACATACACATCAAAATCCTTCTGGCTAAAGTCAAAGCCAGACTGGGTTTTCTATATCAAAACAAGGCCTCCTTCACACACTCTGCCAAATTAACCCTTGTGAAAATGACCATCCTTCCTCTATTTGACTAATTCATAAAATGGCCATCAAAGACCACCCTCAGAAAACTGGACACACTTCACCACTCAGCAATCCGATTTGCACAAGTGCACCTTTCACCACCCACCTACAAATCCATTTTGGGAATGACCCCTGGCTACCTCTCACATCTTCTGCAAATTTCCGACAGCAATCGCCATTTAAGATCCAGTGACTTCATTCAGCTCATCATTCCAAAAGTCCGTACTGTGTTTGTTCATAACTCCTTTCATTTTGCCGCTGCAAATGATTGGAACTCAGCACAAAACACGCTCAAACTAACAGCCCTCACCTCTCTTAACAAGTTCAAACAAAAGTTGCAACAGGCCATAGTTGACTACTGTACTTGCTAATCAGCCCTCACTTCTCTCTCTCTTCCATTTTTACAAAGATCTTCCAGTAATCTGCCTTTTTTTGTACATAGTGTTTATTAATTTAACTATGTTGTTTTTAGCCATAATGTGTTTGTCATACTGTAAATAAGCATTAGGAGCATTTTTCTTGTGTGAATAATGTTGTGTGTTATTTGAGAATCATTTACACAAACCATACAGGAATATGCATTTTACATAGAATCATCATTATGTTATGTAAGGACACAACTTTCAATTGGATTGTTGTAGCAACTTCTTACACAAATAATTAATCTTTTACTAAACTCGGAATATAGTTTGAAACAGTTTGGAATTGCGAGCTTGTCTTATCCCTCATGAGAAAAACCAGAGGCTCATGGGAGGAAATATTACATATTTCAATGTTATAACCAAAAGAAGAGATTTTTACTGAAAATGTAAAGATCCTTTTGACAAGATTGTTGCTGTTAATATTTGTAAAAATATATCAGGCCAACTTCCATAAATACCTGTTTCCTTTGGCCTTTCTGTGTGCACCTGAATGTGTGTGTGGAAGTGTGTGCACGGGAGTATATTTGTCTGCAGAGACTGTTTATATAGATCATCATTCCCTCCAGGCCAGTGGTGCTGCTTCTCTTCCATTTCCGCTGGACAGAACATCTATCAGAAACCCATCTAAAAGTGCTGCAAAGTCTTAATAAATATCCCCCTAATGTAAGAGCATTAAACAAGTATCACTCTACCACAGACAACCCATTGCATATCTGCAAGTAAAAAGGGCAGATGGTGTAATACAGCTGTCTTCCACTCACAGTGAACGGGGAAAGGCTCCAGCTCTGCTTCCTGACTGCTCAGCTGGTGTTTGGACACGCAAGTGAAGACTGCCACAGCGTCCTCCTTGGAGGCTGCATACTGGAGGATGGACGCGGTGGTGGACAGGCCCGTGGCAGGGTCCAGCTTTATGCTTGGGGTGATGACAATGGCTGCAGAGGATTAGGGAGGAAATGTTGGATTACAAAAACATACAAAACAGTACAGCTACCGCAATAAACGTAGCATTCAGCCTTCTTTGGTCTAGTAGTAAACGTTTTTTGTTGTATCAAACCAGTCCAGATTGTGTAAAGTTAGGAATCACAGAAAAGTCTTGAAGTCTAAGTTGCTTTTTAGGAAGACTTTTATGATTGTCTTTACTTTCAGGTACGTACTCACCAAACTTTTTGGTATTTTTTACGCCATCTAATACTCTCTGATCTCATAGACAATAATCTGAATCCTGTAATTGTATCCTTCAGTGAATTACATATTTATATTGTCTTAGATACTCTAAAGCAGTAGTTCCCAACCTTTTTCCAGTGGCAGCCCCTGTGAAATATTTTTTTCAGCGAAGTACCCCTATTTTAGGATAATGAAATTAAATACACTACTGAATATAAATTCCATTTCTGAACCCTGGAGTGCCTTAACATGCCCCCATTTGAGAATCACTGGTCTACAGTATGAGTTAATTTCCTTTCCCTCACCCAGGGGGAGGACAGCATCCAGTGGAACTAAAGATTGGTTTCATTGTGCGTCATTGTTACCTTTCCCATCAGCTACCAGGATCTTTCCATTCTTTTTCCATGTGATCGCAGCTGCGGGGTTGGCATCCCTCGCAACACATGTTCCAACCTGAACAAAACAATTAAACAAATTCTGCCTAGTCATACTCACAGGACGGATTTATTTAATTTCTGCTATTGAATTGAGCATATTAAGAAACACATACGGAAGGCCTGAAGAGTATATCTTTATTTGATTGAATCTGTTTTCATCAGTGTGAAAAGTGTCAAATTTAATTAACTTTAGCAGGAGGAAGTTGGACGGAGACCAAGAAAGACAAACAGCTTTCTCCTCCTATGAATGAAATTGTTTTTGTGCTCTTAAACACACTGTCTTCCTATCTCCTGCTGCATCATCCGGATTTAAAAGGTCTGCAACGGCAGTAGAGATCCGCCTGCGTGTGAACCCGCCTACGAGTGAGTCTGAAGATCATTAATTTCCCCTCTCCTGTACTACTGGCACACATACAGTACATGCCTTGGAGCCTTCTCTCAGGGGATCCAGCATTCACTGTTCAGTAGAAACACTTTCAGCATCTAATTTAAGGTTTAATTACCTTGTTAAAACAAGCATTTATTTTATCTTGCACTAAAATGCAAGTCTAACCAGTCTTCTGCTGTTGGCCAGTAAATACAGCAGCTCCAAATAAGAGACCCAAAGAACCACAAAGGGCAGAGCTGCAGTCATTTAATTTCACCGGAACAGACAACTCAGTTCTTTATCCTAACAGCCGTGATGATGTTCAACAAAATATCTGATGTGTACTCCGGGTGTAACAAAGCAACTTGGTACTATGTAACTGGTGGAGGCTGAATGATAAATGGAATGAACATGATCTTATCTGGAATGTGTCAATGTGTCATCAAAACAGCTTTCAGTTACGTCCATGTCAAGCAGATGCTTAGAAATAATGTTTCACATGCTCACTGTACTGTAGTAAGCATGTTTCCCACTGAGTATGATTCCTCCACTGAGTCAGAGACAATAGAGCTCAACTCAACTTGACTAAATTATGGATAAAGATGGTGACTGGAAGAGATCTCAAACAAAGTAATATTTTTAGTTCATTCATTCAGGATTGTATGTTTTTCATTAAACAGGACGCTTAGTGAAAGTGGAGTCGGATTCCTTAAACACTGGTTGTGTTTTTCACTAAACAGGACGCTTAGTGAAAGTGGAGTCAGATTCCTTAAACACTGGTTGTCTTTTCCTAAATTGTCATGAATTCTCCCAATCATCTTTTCTTGACCCAATGACGCTTTCCACATAGGTCAGGGAATAGTGGTAAGGAATAGACTATTTAAATCCACCCTTAGCTTCTGCTTCACATTTCTCACACACACACACACACACACACACACACACACACACACACACTTGTGAAAGAAAATTTACAACATTTTTAAAAATTGTATTATATAAAATAATAATAATAGTACATTAACAACCATATTTTGCCTTTCAAGAAATGTATCTTGATATCTGCATAAACACTACATTAGTATACTATAAAACATTTAATACAGTTGAGATGCTTATTATTAATACTGTTGCCATTTAGTAGAAACGGTAAGATGATATTAACTCTTAAAACCAGCAGCATGGCTTACTTTACTTCTTTAAAAAGAAGGCACTCGATTGGCTTTGGTGATCTAATAAAAACGCACCTCGGCTGATTCATGGCTGAGACAGTTTGAGACAGGCTTGTTGCATTCTTTCCCACTTAACATGACACTTTTCTCTCTTTTGGAATTCCACTTGCGTATGAAGCAGCCATGGCCTCCATCATTCCCCACTGCAAGATATCAAACTGAAACCCTTTATTTTTTTCTTCCCTACATCTCTCCTTGTCTCTGCGCCTTACCACAAAATGCTTAAAGCTCTTCAGCAGAAGATTTCTTAAGTGGGAATACCAATGGAGGCACCAGCACTCACTCGACCATAATAAATGCATAACTGTGGTGTAGTAAATGTGCACTTCTTGATAGAGAGTCAGATGACCACTTGGAATGTGGCCTGCTTTTTGAATGTTCAATCATTTTTCCAAAAGATGCTTATATAGGTATATGTGTGTGTGAGTACGTGTGTGTGTTCAGGGATTAAAACAAACATCAAAATGTGAAAAGAAACTCTTGCAAAAGTCATTGTTTAACTATGAATGAAAGTAGGTATATATTTACATTTAGATTTAATCTGCAATCGGGACACAACACTACGGGTGAAAACATACCAAAGCCGACACACACCATCACATGAGCAGAATTCAGGACAGCTTCACACTTCCAGACCACAGACCATTAAAATGTAAAGGCTGGAGGGAATCATACCGTTGTTGTCCTGTCCTTCTGCAGTACTTCAGACTTGTCCATAATCTCAACTGAAGACGGTTTCTCTGCAAACCCAAAAGCAGACAATCATGTTTGGGAATTACAAAAAGAGGCTCAGTCAGGGTTTTAATAAAGTGGTTTGGATATCCTTCGTCATACTGTCAATAACCTTAATAATAATAAGAATTCTGTCTATGGCAATGTCAAGTAATGTCAATGTCAAGTAATATATAGGCAGTCAGTGAAACTCTATAACTGTGTTTTATAATGCACAGGGAGGAACTAACATAGCAACAAGATTGAGTAGTAATACAACTAGAACGAAGCAACCGTTTAGAAACTGCCTTTAGATGTCTGCATGCATCTTTGAATACCCTTGACAAATGTCCCTGTTTTTTGATTAAGGACTGAAAAATGTAAAACGTACATACTCAAACATAACAAAATCTAAAATCCGATGTTGGATTGTTTATTTAAAAAGGACTTAATCAAGATCCTTTTGCAGAAAGCGTTAATAAATAATTAATAATCAGGGCAACGGTATGCATCTTTGTAACACAATTCTTCTAAATGTGATCGATTAATGTAATATGTACATGTATGGAGGTATATTGCGACAGTTGTGATTTTATACTTCTTTTGAGAGATTTTGACCTGAGAAATATCTCTTAACAATGTAAACTTCTTCGTCTTCGTCTTATTTGCAGTATTTCCGTTTTGAGTTTATGGAGATGATGAGAAATAAGTGATACTGCTGCAGTCTTCACACTCATCAGACATTTCATTCAGATTCATGAAGTTTAACAGAAATTTCGCAGGTTCAACATCATCTGACTGAAGTCACAGATGGAACCAGCATGGGAAATTGCTTGGAATTTACGTAACAAGATGCATTGTGAGAAGAAAAAAAACAAACGACTGCAGACACACACGCTTAGCATTAAAGCTAAATTCTATGAAGACAACTCAATCTTAATACTGTACTTTCACATCACTCCAAGCAGAATAGCTCTGTATATATATATATATATATATATATATAAATGGCAGCCAGCGAGGAGAAGAACCATGCTTTGAGTGTGATGAGCGCCCCCTAGCGTCACATAGAGCTAGCTTTTCCTTTTGAAAGTAAGTGGGCGGACCAAGACCCCATTTCTAAAATTAATTTGTGATAATCATCTTCTTTAGATTCCAACACAGACGCTAGGTAGCGGTAAAAAGGTGTTTTTTCATTTATGTCTGAAGACTACATCTAAGACCGGTGAATTATGTAATTTCTTCTCGCCCACAAAGTACGGTATTTAGCATGTGTCAGGAATGAAGAAGGAAGACTTCAAGGACTCCCTTTTTTCATCTACGTAACATATCAAAAATCAGGAACTTCCTGTCTCAAAGTGATGCAGAAAAATTAGTTCAAGCGTTTGTTACTTCTAGACTGGATTACTGTAATTCTTTGTTATCAGGCTGCTCTTGTAAATCTCTTCAGCCTCTCCAGTTGATTCACAATGCTGCAGCATGTATTAACAAGAACTAAGAAAGGGGATCATATTACTCCCGTATTAGCTTCTTTGCACTGGCTGGTGATGGTGGTTGTCCCTGCATTGGTCCTGCCGTACACCTGGCTTAGTACTCGCAATTATTTGAATCGTCTCTGTTATAGGAATTGAATGTATCTTTTTTATCTTTCATTCTGTACACATGACACCCATTGTAGTCTGTCCATCCCGGGAGAGGGATCCCTCCTCTGACGTTCTCCCTAAAGGCTGGCGCATGCTTCTGCGTCTGCGTCGTTGCGTCCACGCACTCGTTTCAATTCATGGTTCTAAAAGTCTTGCGTGTGTTGCAGAGCAGTTCACCGCCAGAACAACAGGCGGAGTAACGTGTTTTTATTGAAGACGATCTAGAGAGTCACGTCTATTTATTTATTTATTTGTTTATTTATTTATCATAGACTTTATTGCCCCACTGCTGCTTTTCATCGCGGACACATTTGTCTCGTATTTTCCTCCACAACTTTGTGCACCTCTCGACCGGCAAACCGGCGTTTGCGGCAATCTCCCTCCGTGAATCCAACCCGCTTAAACAACCCGCCAATGACTTTTTATAAGCGGTCATATTTACGCATTTCTTCCGACAAAAGTTCTTCAATCTGATCCGTTCTCTCGTAAACATTCTTCGTTTTAATAATGGCGGTATCGGGCTATGAAAGCGGAAATGTGAGACTCCGTAAAGGATGTAGTTAGCAGACCAATCGCAGCCTTGTGCGCTGCGGGAGGCTTGCGTCGCAACGCTTTTGACATGGCCAACCGAAATTTCATGGTCCTTTATTGTTTCCACTTTGAAATTGCTTGTCCCAACTACAAAAGAGACCTCCCTAACCATTTCACTGCCGTACATCCAACAATCAGTGCAATACATTATTTTCTTGGCTGGATCGTAAAACCAGCCATTCTCGACTGGACATCCATTTTTCGTGGAAAAGTTTTTTCTTTTTCTTTGTGTCCTCTTTGTTTTCGGTTACATCACCAGTTTTTCACCGGTTTTCCTACGCCTGCTATGTTTTGCCAAATCCTTGCCTTGCACTGACCAGGTCTTTTCAAGTTTTACCAAAAGACTCCACCTGTCACGTGTGTTTGTGCGTCTATGCTGCTTAGTAACGAACGTACGGTGGCCGAGAGGGGAAAACCATACATGCATGATAAAACGTTAGCAGGATACTTGTTTCCTCCTCAAGGTGTGGCGTGTGAACTGGTTGAAATGCGTGTGACTCACGGCCAATGGGATAGACATTGTGTGGTGTTAGTAGTGAGCTTACTGTAAACAACGACAGAGACGGGGTACTCCATGAGGTTGGAGGTCGACACCACCATACATGTGAAGATCTTCTGGTCTTTGAGCGAGGCCTCTGTGATGAGCAGGCCTAACTTGTCGTCTATGCTGACCCTGCCGGAGTAATTGTCCGTGGCCTGAACCGTGGCCTCCTTGCTGCTTGCCTGTTTGATCAACAGATCGCCAGCAGTGCCGTCATCTTTCTCCTGAACAGACAGAGAGGACAGACAGGTCTGGTGAAAAACAGAATCGGGAGGAACGTATTTTAGTCTATACCTGAATTAAAAAAGAGATCCAACCTTTAGGGGCTGCAACATTGGATTATTTTTATAATGAATCTGCTCATTTGGTCCCATGACAAAAGCAGTGTCCAAGCAATCTTTAAATGTCTCCAAATTCCCCAAATAAAGACATAACATCGATATAGCAGAGCCTCTATTTGAGGTAAGAAAAAAAATTGAATTTAGATAGAACTTTGGTTGAATCATACTCCTGATGTTGTTTCTGATGTTAGAGGGATGTCATGAATAAAACCTCTCAAATTTAGAGTTGGCCAAAACACACAACAACAAACCAGTTGTAATTTACAGATTGCAGACTCCAATACCTGCAATGATTTGGATTGTAATCTTCAAATGTTTGCTAATGACGCTGAACAAAATCATATTTAACATTATATTGAATAGCATTCAATCACCTGTCTTTAAAATTACACTTATAAGATCAGAAGCTCAGAACTTAGTTAGGAGGGAAGACCTCAAAATACTAAATTCTCAGTACAATAATGTACAGTGCATCCGGAAAGTATTCACAGAGCTTCACTTTTTCCACATTTTGTTATGTTACAGCCTTATTCCAAAATGGATTAAATTCATTATTGTTAGAATGCATTAAGCATCCAACTATTGTTCTTCGAATCTTTAACCAACTTATTATTCTATTTCTTCCGCGCCACCTTTCAACTGCTTCACACTTTCAGCTATTAAAACCATTCAAATGTTAAAATATTCAGCTCTTTCCCGGGAGGGGTGATATGACTTTTCAGCTTTCTAGATCTTAAGCTTGAATTTATATAAATCAATAATCATGAATATTTCTTCTTCTATTCTTCTATTTTCCTATGGAGATCGTGTTCAAATCCTCTTAAACTTCTTCAACTTTCAGATTTTTCAGCTTCGCCAATCTTTCAGCTACAGACACCATTTCAACTTTCAAATGTTGACACAAGTCTCAACTGTTTTATGAAAAAACTGCTTGTTGATATCTATTCTACTTTTTTATGTTTCACTACTTCTTCGCTCCGTTTCTGACTTTTACATGAGTGTGTATTGCGTCTGCTAGAGGGGGACCTCGAGGGCTAGAGTGTGGGGCAGCGCCAGAATCTGGTTAAAAAAATATGGAACTTCTGTCCTTGCAGCCAAAGTATACACTGTTGAGGCTTCATTTCTTCAGATTAATGAGGGCATGGTTGTGCTGATTAGATTAATGTGTTCATAGAATCCCAGAGTTCTTTAGTTTTGGCTTAAGGAGTGTTAGAGTGACACAACCTCTGCCAAAAGCCCCATAGGCTCCAATACAAATCTGACGACATATTTCTCAAAAAATCCAGAAGATACACGTTTTGTAAACTGCGACAGGAGCCGTATTTATTACCGGAGACAGACATAAAGAACACATCCATGCGTTCGGTAGAGTCTTTTGGGTATTTTTTAGATAGCTGTTATAGTTTTGCACTGGTGGTCATTTGTTTGAGGTGTGGATTCTGTGTAACTCCTGTGTCAGTCCTTTGCAGCAGCTCGTTAATGAGCCCAGGTGCGCCGTTGCCGTGGTTACTCGCACACACGCTGCAGTATCTCTGTCTGTGACTCACAGCTGCTCCTATTACCTGATTAGTGGAGTCACATGACGCAGCTATGCTTTCTGTCAACAGACCAATATGATAAAGACACTCGAAATACTACTACAACCACTACGAATATTACTAGTACTTCTAGTAGTACTACTACAACTGATACTTCTACTACCATACTACTAGTATTTCTACTGCTATTAATACTACAACTACTACTAATGTTATTACAAATACTACTATGGCTAATAGTATTAGTATTACAGCTGTTTCTACTGCTATTGATACTAAACCTACTTCTACAGCTAGTACTACTAATACCACAATTACAACTATAACTACTACTACTACTAATATTACTACAAACAAATTTAAACATCTTTTTATTCATCTCAGCTTTTGTTATTTCTGTATTTTTTTTATTCATTTAAGCTCCTGCAACTTCTGTATTTAGAAAATCTATAGAAATTCAGCTTTCCCACTTCCTGTATTTTCAGCAGTTATTTAAAATAATTTCAGCTTTTCTTATCCCTTTATTAAAAGCAATGTTTTATAATTCATTTCTGTATTTATTTCAGCTTTTTTCATTTCTGCTTTTTCAGCAAATCTATTGAAATTCATTTCAGCTCCTCCCATTTCTGCATTTTAAGCAATTTCAAATTCAGCTTTTCTAATATCTGTAATTTCAGCAAATGTTTTTCAAATTTCCTTCAACTTTCTGTATTTTCAGCTATTTTTAAAAATTCATTTCAGCTTTCAGCTTTTTGCATTTCAATGCATTTTCAGCAGGAAATGCATTTTCTAGTACTACAAATACTACAATGACTAACAGTTTAGTACTACAGATGATAAAACTAGTAGTACTACTAACACTATTATTTCTAGTTTTTCTACTGCTATTGATACTAAAACTACTACTTATTCTAATGCTAATATTATTACTGCCAAAACTACAATTACTACTAATATTACTACAAAAAATAAATGTTTTAAGACTCAACTCAGCTTTTGTCATTTCTGAATTTTCAGCAATATTTAAATTTATAAATTTCTTTAGTATTTTTTATTCCAATATTTTTTAGTCCATTTCAGATTCTTACATTTCTGTATTTCCACCAATTTCTTGTAATTTATTTAATCTTTTCTCAACTGTGTATTTTCAGCAAATCTATTGAAGTTAATTTCAGCTTTTCTGATGTCTGTATTTTCATCAATATTTTGATATTCTTTCTTCTATAGTCATTTCATTTCTTTATTTTCAGCAAATCTGTGGAAATTCTTTTCCGCTTCTCCCATTTCTGTATTTTCAGCAATTTCAAATTAATTTCAGCTTTTCTAATATCTGTATTTTCAGTAAATGTGATAAAATTCCCTTCAACTTTCTGTATTTTCAGTTATTTTCTGAAGTTCATTTCAGCTTTCAGCTTTTTGCATTCCAACGCATTTTCAGCAGGAAATGCATTTTCTAGTTTTTCTCAACATTCTACACACAACAACCCATAATGACAAAGTGAAAACAGTTTTTTGCAATTTTTTGCAAATCTGTTAAAAATAAAGAACGAAAACATAACATGTACATAAGTATTCACAGCCTTTGCCATGACACTCAAAATTTAGCTCAGGTGCATCCTGTTTCCACTGATCATCCTTGAGATGTTTCTACAACTTGATTGGAGTCCACCTGTGCTAAATTCAGTTGATTGGACATGATTGAGAAAGGCACACACCTGTCTATATAAGGTATCACAGTTGACAGTGCATAGCAGAGCATAAACCAAGCCATAAAGTCCAAGGAATTATCTGTAGACCTCCGAGACAGAATTGTATCGAGGCATAGATCTGGCGAAGGGTACAGAAAGATTTCTGCAGCATTGAAAGTCCCAACGAGCACAGTGGCCTCCATCATCCAGAAATGGAACAAGTTTGGAACCACCAGGACTCTTCCTGGAGTTGGCCGCCCAGCCAGACTGACCAGGAACCCGATGGTCACTCGAACAGAGCTCCAGCGTTGTTCTATGAAGAGAGGAGAACCTTCCAGAAGGACAACCATCTCTGCAGTATTCCACAAATCAGGCCTGTTTGTTAGTGGCCAAATGGAAGCCACTCCTCAGTAAAAAGTTTGCAAAAAAGCACCTGAAGGACTCTCAGACCATGAGAAACAAAATTCTCTGGTCTGATGAAACAAAGATTGAACTCTTTGGCCTGAATGCCAAGCTTCATGTCTGGAGGAAACCAGGCACTACTCATCACCTGGCCAATACCATCCCTACAGTGAAGCATGGTGGTGGCAGCATCATGCTGTGGGAATGTTTTTCAGCGGGAGGAACTGGGAGACAAGTCAGGATTGAGGGAAAGATGAATGCAGCAATGTACAGAGACATCCTGGATGAAAACGTGCTTCAAAGCGCTCTGGACCTCAGACTGGGGCGACGGTTCATCTTCCAACAGGGCAATGACCCGAAGCACACAGCCAAGATAACAAAGGAGTGGCTTCGGCACAACTCTGTGAATGTCCTTGAGTGGCCCAGCCAGAGCCCTGACTTGAACCCGATTGAACATCTCTGGAAAGATCTGAAAATGGCTGTGCAGCAACGCTCCCCATCGAACCTGATGGAACTTGAGAGGTTCTGCAAAGAAGAATGGGAGAAACTGCCCAGAAATAGGTGTGCCACGCTTGTGGAATCATACCCAAGAAGATTTGAGGCTGTAATTGCTGCCAAAGGTGCTTCAACAAAGTATTGAGCAAAGGCTGTGAATACTTACTTACTTCACTTTGTCATTATGGGTTGTTGTGTGTAGAATGTTGAGGAAAATAATGAATTTAATCCATTTTGGAATAAGGCTGTAACATAACAAAATGTGGAAAAAGTGAAGCGCTGTGAATACTTTCCGGATGCACTGTACACCTACATTATTTACCATATAATATTTTTTACAAGGTTCCAACATGCATTGCTGGCTGCAAAAACTATTTTTAAAGGCCATTAAAATGAGAAAATCTTCGCTTTGTCAAACTGTTATCAAACCATGACGGTTTATATTTTTAAATACCTTACTTTGCACAAACTTTATCAAAAATATATTCATGATGATTCTTGAGGAGGGAAGTGTTTATAATTATAATTTGAGTGTATATGGCCATGGGAATATTTTGGAAATTAATCTCAATCTCTTCTCAGCAAATTACATAGGGAACTGTTTTATTCATATTAGGACTTTTTTAATGACGTCGAATAATCAACAAGACTTATTATATGATGTGTAATCAACTACACATATCTATATGTAGTAGCCTTTTCCGTTCGTCCCTTTTACTCCCTGATCAGCTACTACTGGTGGCTGAGCTGAGCAATGACCATTTATTGCTCTTGATATGAATAATTTACAAACCAAAAACATGAGGTAAAAACGGTCAAAAGACTGTTTCCCTCTCAGGCCACACCCACTGCTGCATCTTCCTGTCTTTTAAAGGCTTTCCTTGGGCTCCAACTCCAGCTTCCCAACCGTCCTCTAGGTGGGGTATACAGACATTACAGACCTGTGGCCATATTACTCACTCACTCGACACACACACACACACACTCACTACTATTCAAAGGAAAGAAACATAAAATGCAGCTCAATATGGCTCCTACACTGTAGCAGCACCAATAGACACACCCAATGCATCACAATCATAACTGCATAACTTCTGTTTTGTACTAAGTGACCTGCGACCTTGCATTAGCTGAGAATGATAGTTTTACATTACCACTCATGTGAACATGGAGGGTTGAGTCGTTACACATTTCTTCTGTCTGGCAGTGCTCACACTGAAGGGCTGAAGTACTAACTGGCAGAAAGTTCATTTAATTGACTGCCGTAAATACTCTGACACAGCAAAGGTTCCAATAAAGATCAATCTTAACTACTTTAGTTACCAAAGATGGAATACAATAGGCCTACATCCAATGTGCAAAAAAAACAAAGAATAACTAAAGACTTGGCATTACTTTGGGAAAGGCAATACTTGCCTTTCCCAATGGAATCAATGTAACAACTCAATAACGATCTCTCACTATTTTCTTGTGAACATCTATAATATTTCTAGAAGAGCGAGCACATCAGTAAGCGTAAAAAGAACATTAGAGTAAAGCTGTGCTGTTGAAAATGTGTGTCTCTTATGACGAATGTGTTTTTATCCTCTCACTATGTTTTCATTGGTTTTTCACACTCAGTATCACAGAGTGATATTTTTGAACAATTCATTCATTCATTTTTGTCATGAAATTGATTAACAATGTATAATCATGTACACAAAGAAAATCCCAATTCATCATATTGTGCTCCTCTTTGTTGGAAATGTGGTGTGTGTTCAAAAACGTCAAACTCCTCAAGATAATAGAAAGACTAATTTTTACTCAGAGTTGTTGAAAACAGTGTTGGGTATCTACTTACGTATTTCCACTTGACAAATATGAGGTCCTTTGGGGTCGCAGCTCCACCGTTGCATGGTACAACAATGATCTCTCCATACAGGGCAGTTACACCTTCTGTAGCACACACTGCAACAAAGAAGTGACAAACTGTTTACATCATGCTGCTTGGGGCTCCAGTTCATTAATTATGTTTTTGTCATGTTGAATTTGTAGAGATGTCAGCCATATTATTTGCCCAGAGGAGTGTTGTTGTTGCTGCTGTTTAAATTAATTTTGATGCAGGAAAAACAGTCTAATTAAATATAGGGCCCATATCCTTGTGAGGTAAGACTGGGCAAAAATGGTCTGGTCAAAACAAACAGAATAAAGCTAAACCACACTATGGTGTCACTCGAATTGTCACAACAATTTTAAGCATAACTCCCTTTAATTTTTTTGAGGGTAAAGAACCAGAAAAACAAGAATTAAGAAAGTACAAATTGCTATAAGTAAGTGCCATCATAGGTGCTAATAAGGTGCTAACAAGTCCAGGTATAGTCAGTCGAGGTCTGTTTTTAGCTGTAGGCTTTCTGCTGTCCTGATGTCATTGGGGAGCTCATTCCACCATTTAATGGTGCAGGGGTAGAGAGGGTGCGCTGGCAACCGCAAGGTTGGTGGTTTGAGTCCAGGCTGCCCCATGTCCCATGTTGAAGTGTCCCTGAGCAAGACACCTAACCCCTAATTGCTCCCTGGGCAAAAATATAAAAAGCCATGGGTTAAAAATGTAATGTAAGTCGCTTTGGATAAAAGTGTCAGCTAAATGACCTGTAATGTAATTTAGGAGCCAGGATTTCTTCAGTGTTTAGCTCTCTGTGAGGGAGCAGATTGATGCAGAGCAGAATTGACGTGCAGAGACATAAGGTTTGACCATGTTTTGGATGTAGACTGGACCTGATCTGTTTGCTGCACGGTACGCAAATGTTTTGAAACGGATGCGGGCAGCAACTCGGAACCATTGAAGGAAGCGGAGTAGTGTGGGTGAATTTAGGTCAAAATATTCAGACGAATAAAACTTGTATTACTATGAAATTATATTGTCATTATGTAATCAGTGGCATAAATGTTCTGATGTTTGTCGCAACTAATATTGGTGCAATAATCACCAAACAAAAATTTGATATTGTGACAGATCTGGAGACAGGCCTGTATTTGTTAACGTCAGACAGATTGGGGCTGGGTTTCTTCACAGCCCAGTCATGGGTAACGTGAGAGGAGGCTGAAAAAGGGTTGGGAAAAATGTTGATGTATGGAGGTCAGAGGAGAGTATAGTGACACCAAGGTCTCCACACTCCAAATGTTGTTGCTGTCACACCGCGGTGAGATCAAGTTGGGGTTTTCTTGTCTTCGTGCCTTGTCTTGTCATTTCCTGTTTTATTTTGAAAGATTAACCCCTCTCTCGTTTCAGGTCACTTGCCCCTCATGTGGCACCAGTCGAATCGTCTCCCCTGATCCCTGATTGTGTCCACCTGTTTCCCATTACCCTCATGTGTCTTATAGTCTGTGTCTCCCTCCAGGAGTGTACCGACCATTCTGCAACCTGAGCCTGTCGCCTTTAACTCGGTGTCCCTCTGCCTGCCTGGTTCGGTCTTGCTTTTCCCCGTTCTATAAGAATTGGCTCCGCCAACTCGGGCGACAGCGGAGCAGCAGCTCCGCGACAACTCCGGAGCGCACCCCAGCACCGGGCGGGCCGGCTCCCCACTGTTCTCTGCCAAAACCCCGCTGATCTTCTGCCACGGAAGAAGAGGAAGACCCTATGCAGCTGGGAAGGGCCCGGCTAGAGCAAAGGCAACAAGAAGGCCGTTGCTTCTATTGCGGGGACACTGGTCACCGCATCGTGGCCTGCCCAGCCAAGAGGCCCATAGGGGCCAGGCAGTCCGCTGCTCCCAGCTCGACTACACAAACTCGTCAAGGTAATGCACCACACCACCACCGAGCACAACGCACTCTTTGACACCGGGGCTGATGAGAGCCTGATGGACTGGGGATTAGCAGAGAAGCTGGGCATTAAATCCCCTGGGCAGTAAAGCCTATCCAGGCCAAGGCCCTAAACGGGGCAGAACTGTTCACCATCTCTCACGTCACTGAACCCATCAAGCTAATCATTAACGATCATAAAGAAACCATCCGTTTTTATTTATTCAAGTCACCGTCTCAGGCTCTGGTTTTGGGGCTGCCATGGCTGTTTCGCCACAATCCCCACGTAAACTGGAGAACGGGAGAGATTATAGGATGGGGTGAGGACTGTCTTGACCTCTCGATTCCAGGAAAACGAGGGGCTGTGTTTAACCTGGTCTCCGTTAGGGCCACCGCGGACCCAGAGTACCCAGACCTGAACACAGTGCCCTCCTGTTATCACCATCTTCGGGAGGTTTTTAGCAAGACCAAGGCCACCTCGGCCCCCATCCTCATCATGCCAGATCCCCAGCGACAGTTCGTGATCGAGGTAGACTCCTCCAACGAAGGGGTCGGGGCGGTCCTCTCCCAGCGGTCTGAGCAGGATAGCAAGATGCACCCCTGCGCCTTATCACGGTGGCTGTCCAAGGCTGAACGGAACTATGATGTCGGTAACCGAGAGCTGCTGGCGGTAAAGGTCGCCCTCGAGGAGTGGAGACACTGGCTTGAGGGGGGCTGACCAGCCATTCATTGTCTTGACGGATCACAAGAACCTTGAATACATCAAAAAAGCCAAAAGACTAAATTCTCGCCAGGCCAGGTGGGCTCTTTTTTTTTTAACCGGTTTTCTTTTTCCCTTTCTTACAGGCCGTGGTCCCGCAACGTCAAACCTGATGTCCCGTCTCTTTGACCCCGAGCCTTTTGCCAAAGAGCCCGAGACTATCTTTCCACTAACCGGTGTGGTTGGAGCTGTGACTTGGCAGATGAGGTAAAGCAGGTTAACGGTGAGGTTCCACCGCCTAGTGGATGCCCTGCGAACCGTCTGTTTGTCCCGGTTGTGTTGCGCCCGCAGGTGATCCACACCTCACTGCTTTCCTGCCATCCGGGAGTTAGGCGAACGATGTTCGTTTTCGCCCGGAGATTCTGGTGGCAGCGGGAGGTCCGGGAGTACGTTGAGACATGTTCAGTCTGCGCCTGAAATAAGACCTCCTCCAGGCCACGCATGGGCCTTCTACAGCCTCTACCTATTCCCTCCAGACCGTGGTCAGACATCATGGACTTCGGCACGGGGCCCCCGGTCTCTAAAGGTAACACCACGGTTCTTACAGTTGTGAACAGGTTTTCCAAAATGGCTAGATTTGTTCCACTGCCAAAACTACCTTCAGCCAAGGAAACGGCAGAAGTTATGATGAACCAGGTTTTTAGGATCCACAGCTTTCCTAAGGACATAGTTTCTGACCGGGGGCCCCAATTTGTCTCCCGGTTCTGGGGGGGAGTTTTGTCGGCTCATCGGTGCGAAGGCCAGCCTGACCTCAGGATACCACCCAGAGGCTAACGGCCAGACCGAACGCCTCAACCAGCAGCTGGAAACGAGTATGCCCACAACTCACTGCCTACCTCAGCCACAGGTTTCACGCCTTTTGACTGTGTTTTTGGTTACCTGCCCCCCATGTTCACGGACAACGAGCCCATGCCATGATCCGTCGCTGTCGCCGCATCTGGGCAGGTGATAATTCGCCAGGGGGATAGAGTGAAGAAGGCCGCGGACCGCAAGAGACAACCCTCATGTGTCTTATAGTCTATGTCTCCCTTTCCCTGGTGCAGTAGTGTACCGACCATTCTGCAACCTGAGCCTGTCGCCTTTAACTCTGTGTCCCTCTGCCTGCCTGGTTCGGTCTTGCTTTTCCCCGTTCCCGTTCTATAAGAATTTCAGTTTCTATTTATGGACTCTGCTCCTCCAACCTGTTTGTACCTTTTTGTGTTTTCCTCCTAATGGAGTGATTGAGTTTTTTGTGATTTTTGAGCCAAATGAAGACTGCCTTTTTTCTGTTCATTCTGCTCTTGAGTCCTCTCTTTAAACGTGGGCCTGACAGTTCCTGAGCTAAACAGGGTGAACAAGAAGCACCTCAGATTCTTGTCATTCCAGAGTGATGGGGCCAGAAAACGTACAAGTGCAGCTGCTAACTGAAGGTAAGACATGCTTGTTTGAAATCTTTAACTACAGCTAGATTACGACACCACAATAAAGTATCAGTTTCTATAGTGGATTATTCCAGTGATGAGTGAATACATCAACCCTGCTAAATCTGCCAAAATATGCCATCTGCATATTTTCTCTGGTAGTGCAAGGCACAGATAACATGAATTCAGAAAATGTTCACTATTATTTGGTCAGTATTATGAGTCTTTGGTTTGAACCTTTAATGCACAGGTGTGACACTCAAGGCCCGAATCCTGTCCCCCGGGGGTCCAGTGCGGCCCGCTGGATGACTTTGCTATTGTGAGAAATACAGAAAGACATGAATTTCTATAAAAGTAGCTGCTATTCCTAAAAGGTCGACTGGGGGTCGCACTCTGTGCGTGAGCGCATGCGTTGGACCAGGGGGACCAGGTCATTCACAAACACAGTGCCGGTCGATCACCTGCCATTGGAAAAAAAACAAGTCAGGTCACCACGCATATGCAGCGCTGTTGTTCCGTTTGGTTACCTCTGCTGCTCGTAATTATTATTATTATTATTCGGACGAACTGCCCGAGCGGGAGGGGGGTAGATCGCCATGAGTTGGATTGAAAGTTGAGTGGAAAGTAGCTCACAGGCTGAAAAACTGTGGGCACCCCTGCGTTAGAGCTTTTCGACCACAGCGGTACTCCAGGCAGAAGCGCCCGCTTGAAAATGACTGTGTCCCCCTGTCGGCCAGATCATCCGCGCGGACCCCCCCCCCTATGATTTTTATGGTCTGGCCCACACGAGATAAGTGAGCTGTATCTGGCCCAAACCAATGCTTCAATGAATATTTCGCCCACAATAGAAGCAATTTACGATAACGACACACAACTCAAACTAATAGGGCTGTCAATAGATTTAGAAAAAATAACTTTAATCTCACATTTTGAAATTCATTGTTGTTTTTAATGAATGTTAAGACTACATCTGAAAAGTAATGAGTAATTACTTTAGACAGTGTGCAGGGCTG